ATCCTGAAAGTAGAAGGTTTTAAACTGATGACAGTGCTGTGACCTGCCTTCACAGGTCTGTCTTTGCAGCAGGACTGTGGTTGCCTGTTCATTTGCACATGAGATTCAAAGTCAGCCTTTCATCACTTACAGTCTCCTCTCTGAAAGCTGGCATGCTTAACCATATACCCAAATATTTACTATTAAAAAGGTTATAAACTCTATGTGGATCTAAGACCCAGACCTTTAACTAACTGTCCCATTACTGTTTTTCTATATATTTACTATATATACTGTATTAATGTTTGTGTGTGTGTGTGTCAGAGAAAGAGAGAGAGAGAGGTAGTGAGGCAGAGAGTCCTATCATATCAATGGTGGTCTGTTTTGCGTGGAGCAGAGCTAAAAGACCATTCAGTTGCCAAAATAAAGCCCATGGAAGTGAACTGTGGGTCAGTGCAGCGCTCTGAGCGGGTTTATTAGTGTGGTCTGTGCAGAGGACTCGGCAGCCTTTAATGTATACTGCTATATACAGAGAAAAGGGCAGAAAGTTCCTCTGATATAGAGTTTCAATGGGAGAAAAGCATTGTGCTCTCTTAAACGTGTCATAACTCAACTCAGGCAGCTTATGGTTACTCAGTGGCTTCCAGACTATAAGTCACTTAGCGTTCGAACACATCAATAATTATGCCTGTTCAAGAATGAAAGTTAACCGGAAAGCCTGTCCCCAAAAAACTTGATGTACTTCTTTAAAAGTCGCATTCATTTGCTGGTTCACTGCTGTGAAGGCAGGGAAAGTGTCATCCAGTACACCCACACACAACTAATGAAATTCCTGAAACTTAGCTTCCCCACCAATAAGCATCCATCTACCACAGCAGAGCTCAAAGGGAGCACTTCCTGTGAGGGTGTGACACCTGGCACAAAAGCCCCTCTATCCACACCACACAGCCCCTGACCATAAATATCATTCACCGCTTTTCTATTTAGAAGCCACACAGCTGGGAACATGGGCAGCTCTCTCTCTCTCTCTCTCTCTCTCTGTTGTCTCACTCCTCTTCTGTGACCTTTGACCTTGAACATAACTGAAAACAGGACCATTGGTTGTGTTTCTTTGTCTGCATGTGTTATGGTTGTGATAATAGATGCCACAGTTTGTTATTGTGCTGGGATGTTGAGTGGCCTCTGAGAGGAGGGGAGCAAAAAGTTGCCAAGAACACAATAACAATAAACCACATTTTTTGGATAGCCTGCCTCTTGTCAGCTGACTCAATGGGTCATAAGAGCATGAACAATAAAATTATCCATCTGTCTACAGTAGATCACTTGCTTTCACAAGTCAGCATACAATATTTAATCTATCTATGATCTTTTTAATCGTCATTTAACCAAACTAACACTTATTTTTATGGGATGTTAGTGTTCTGTAGTGCACATGAGCCTCTGAGATGTCCTACAGATCAGACAGTTCTGATTTTGTGCAGGAAATCCTAATGAGAAAAAAAATAAATTGGTCAAACTGGATTAAACTTTTTATTTATATTAGCTATTTGTAAGCGTTGCTATTGCTACATAGCCACCATTAGCATTAACTGCTGTTTACTTACCAGAGCTTCAGTCATTGTTGCAATTACAAGACACAAGGTTATAATACGTCCTCTGAGCAGTACTACTTCTTCAGAGCAGCATGGGCGTGACAGTGACGAGGCGGTCTGACTGTGCCAGGGCTAGCTGGTTAGCATGCTAACTTCTGTAGAAGAAAAGAAGTGATAGAAATAGAAAACAAGAGGGTTGCTTTCCACCACTAGAGACAGCTCTTTGTGAGTGAAGGAAAAAGTTTGATGCTGAACTCGCAACATTTCTTCTAGACTGGTAAGTAAACAGAAATTAATGCTAATATTGGCTGTGCAGTGGTAGCAAAACTTACAAATAGCTCCTTTAATGTTACTGTGGTAATACCGTATTTCTTATTTAGTAAAACTATCTGCTATCAAATTGTTATCAGTTGCATGTAATTTAACATGCAGAACTGCTGAAATTTCCAACTTTCTTACTGTCAGACAAAGTCCTAGTGACAACCACAATGTTTTGAGTTTGAAGCTGCAGTTCCTCTAATGGCCACTAAATGTTAAAAATAAAAATAGATCAGGGTCACAAGTTATGTTCTGGGATGTGTTAGCTTAATTTGCCTCTCCTGACATGTTTATAAGACATAAAAATACCGTGCTTTGAATAATAATTTATGTCTGCTATGTTTTTTCAAATAAAATTATTGAAATTGCATCTGCTTTTTCTTCTTATGCAAGTACTTTTCATTTCAAAAGTGACACTGATGAATACAAGATAATTCCTACTTCACTGAAAAGCCCATTCCCAATGTACAAACACTGAAGGTCTCAAGTTTCCACATCCCACTCTCGTAAAGTTGCACGTTGACCTGCTTCCAGACCAGCTGTGACGAAGTACATGTAAAGTGAGATTTAAGGTGAGCAAAGAGAAACCTCCCCCCTTCAGCAGATGAATGTGAAAACAAACTCTGCTCATATAGTGAAGCTCAAACATAACAGTGAGGTAGCAATAAGAAAAACACATTTTGACTGGAGGGGGACTTTAAAGGAGTGTGCTCATCCCGCCTCTGCTCCACCCACACTTATTGCCTAAATAATTTAGATATCGTGGCTTCAGTAATTTGAGAAAGATGGTGGTGAGTGGTAACCCAAGGTAAGCTTCAAAAACTGCCTTCAAAAGGTCGTGGGTGATGTCACATACACAATGTTTTTCCACAGACTGTGTGGCCTTCTGTATAATTTAATATGCTGCATGACCATGCAAAAGTCTTAGCATTGTGCACTACAGCCACTGATCTGCCAGGGACTCCTTTATGTTTGTTTACAGTCCCTGTAGTATGTTTTCACTGACCAAAAATGGAGGTATGTTTCATTAACAAGCTGAGCCCGAGTGAAGAATCAGGACCACACCCAGAGAGAGCAGGAGGGAGAGAAAATGTAGCTCTCATGCTAACCCATCCTGCTCAGAAAATATCAGGCTTTATAGTTGGATGTACGTGTGTGAGCACCACCCACATGGATGAGCTTCCAGCAGGATTTTTAAGATACTGGTCAGGTGTACAGGCCACCCAAGTCTTCTCACCCTCTCTCTCACAAAAACACACAAAGATGCACACACGGTCTCGGGAACAGGTGTAATTTTATCACCAGTTTGCTACAATCAGTAGACGTGGTGTGAAGCCTGCTGCACATCACAGTGAATGACAGAAGTGATTACACAAAACTCGGTTTCTATTCCAAATGACATCCTGTTCTCCTCATTCCCTCTTGAGCCAGATGTGTATCATCACACTCCCTCTCTCCCCCTCTCTCCTTCACTCTCTCTCTCTCTCCCTCATTGCAGACATATTTTCCGTGTCTTTTCTTGGCTCATTGAGACTTCAACCAGTCACCATGGCATTCATCCTCTGTTAGCCAGAGGCCCTGGTTTCTTCTGTTTGGTCCTGACCTCGCATAATGAGAAGACTAAACACAAAACTGATTTCCGCTGGTCTCATAGTCTCTGATGGCTTGTAACTCTGTGGAGGCAGCAGGGTAGTCAAGTACTCACAGACGCTGTCCTCCAACCGGAGGACTGAGGTTGTCCGTAAGCATCCATCCATCCATACTGTAAAGCTAAAAGTGAAGACAAAGTTCAATAAACATGCATACATTTTTCAGTTCTGATGAACATCCAAACACCTTACGACATGACACATATGAACTCTTTTGACTGAATATCAGATATTTAACCAATAAACATTGATGTTGTGGTCAGTCAGTATGTGGTTCCTGAGTTTTTGCCTTGTGAAAATGAAGCAGTGATGAAATCCTTCATCACAGGTTGTGTTTATCTGTGAGCTGCAAGCAGCTCCTCCAAAGCAGTGTTGGAAACTCCATTTACTCAAGTAATGTACTGACCTTCACTTAAGTGTTTCCATTTCTATTCCAATACAGTTCACAGGGAAACATTGTACTTATATGCATTTAACAATTTAGTTATTATTTTGCTGTCATATTTTACATATGATCACTTTTTTAAAACATGATGCATTATTATAGATTAAACTACCCAACACTTTATGAAATACATTAACTCCACCTCAACCAACTATAACATTAAATGTTGCTTACATAGATGAATCAGTAATAATACCTCAGAAAAATATTATACAAGACTCTCGGAGTACTTTTACTTTTAAGTCTGTAGTTTATATTTACTAGTAATATAATAACTTTTACTTAAGTAAAATTTGAAATGCAACCAAAGTATTTTTATAGATCGACAGTGGTACTTTTTTCTTTAGTATGAGACACGTTAAAAATGATCAGACTGCTCTTCACCCTCTGAAGGGGGTTGTTGTAGGGGGGAGGTCCTACCCAGCTGTAGTGTGTTTATTGTGCATGGGTAAAAAGAATATCAAAGATTTTGTGAATATTAAGCATCAAAATCCACATGCAAACCAAAGACTGAATTCTGGTGACTTTACTCGAAAGTACTTTACACTTCACTGGACAGGCTGTGGAGAATAAAGGTGCCGCAGATTTGGAGGCTCTAATTGCTCAGACTGGAAACGCCTCAGAAACTATTGTTGGGACCAGTGGAACTAATTCCTTCACAGTCCGCTCAGAGGCTCATTGAGTGAGGAGCGCTTCATCTCTCTCTCTCTCTCTCTCTCCCCTCTCTCTCTCTCTCTTTCTCTCTCTGCCTGCGGCCGCAGCCACACCGCACACCTCCCGACTGGGCTGCTGCTGAACAGACCACTGACTTCACCCAATTCAGCCTTTACTTAGAGCGCTCGGTCTGGTCCCACCCATATGTGAACAGCTTTTGTCACAAGTGAAAAAAAAAGAAGTCTTTTTCAGTTTTTTCTTTTCCTCCCCCATCCCTCCCTTCCTCCCTCCCTCCCTCCTCCTCAGCATCAAGTGCAGCCTGAGCAGAGCGTCCCGGCTGCGACTTTCTCTCAGCCTCTTTGAAGTAATGAGGAGAAGGGATCCGTCGCCCCGCTGATACCAGGACGTCTGGGATGCACTAACACCCGTTTGTTTTCTGCTGGGATCATATTTGTATATATCTAAGGGAAACAAACAATACATTGCGGATTTGGCAAATCCATCAATCGGATGCAAGCAGGTAGGACGCCTTTGTCATTTTGCACAGTTATTGCGATCTCTTGATGCACGGACAAATCTATTCTTTCTTTCTTTCTTTTTAATTGTTTATTCAATATTTTTATGTTTTCTTTCAGTTTTGATTGTCGCTTCTTTTTTCTTTGTGGATGAAATTGTTGATTTTTTTTCCCCGGGAGATCTAACTTGACTCCATAGTCTTGGCAGTGCACAATATGTCTTATTTATGCACATTATTTTGTATTATGTATTTTGAGTATTACTATTATTATTGGATGATGTTATTCAATAAAGGTATAATGTATTTGCATAAGTTGCTGTACAGTGAAAAAATACATTCATCCTCTTCCTTCCACATACAGCTGGTGATGCAGATGTGGAATTACAGATGTTTGTTTTCACATTTCACTGGCTATCTAAAGTAATGGGATATTTATTTGCATGATGGTGATATTTATTATTTCTATTATTTTCATCTATTATGTGAAAATAGATGGCTTAAACTTTCACTAAGACGTTTTGAATGTTCTTTTTTTGGACAAATTTTCATAATGTAAGCCATTAATAGCGTTTCAATGATGAGTCTTGGGCTGTTTGGACACTTTGGAAACTGTGCCTGAGAGGTGAAGTTTATCTTAAAAGTTGTGAAAATCGGTGAAAATGAATGAAAACACCCCTTTTAATAATAATCTTGGTGCTGAATTAGACAATAGACACTGACCCATGCTTACTGGAGAGGGGGTGGACAACTGTGCCATAGCGCCATCCTTTGGTCACGTTGTCTCCTGGGTGCCTCTTGCAGCTTCTTGTGACTCCTTCCACTGAGGGATGGAGAGGGCACAGCTTCTTGTTCAGCTGACTGCAGTGGAAAATAGTTTAGTCGAAATGAACGCCTTCTATGACCAAGAGCCATCATGGCAGCATATCAGTTTCCACTCTATGCTGAATAATTGCAGGCTTTCTTCTGGATTTGTGTTATGTCTGAGTCTGGTAGTGGGAGTGTGAAGCTGAACAGAGACTCGGGGGCATTTTTGTATTCTCATTTATTGAGACTGTTTTACAGCTCTTGTGGGCTTGTACTTTATTACCGTCTGTTTCAGACTGGTAAGCTGTTGGTCACTGAGTATGTTTTATTGGACATTGCGTGGTAAACTTCATCCAAAAGCTTTGCTGTCAGACTCAGATGGATGACTGGGCACTAACTGATGAACAAACCTGGAATGAAAAGGGAATGCTTTGAAGTCTCAACTAAAAAGAGGAATTTGGGTAGAATCACCATAATGAGATGATAAAGCACTGATATGGTCCTTAGTTGATACCGTACATGCAATGAGGCAATGCTCCCTCTCAGCTGAGTCTCCTGGGAGCTTTGCCAAACCAGGCAATGTCTCATTTTCATGCCGCACTAACATCTCATTGAAAGGGAATGTGCCTCTATGGACCCTCTGGCCAATTGAGGCTGTCCCCCCCAAGGATCCGTCCTCCAGCTGAAGGACCTTAGACGTCAGCCTGTCTGCCACACTCCATTTACACCACCCAAACAGCCAGAATGAATGGCTATTTCACTCTGGACTTCTGTTAGAAATTAACTGTTGGATTTTCACTCTTGCTACATTGCTGCTCAATGGACAGCATCCAAATGATTTTCTCTCCTTGTGTCTGAAATCGCCTGCGTGACCACAGCCATGCTGACGTATTGAAGCTCTCCTGCTCCTTAGTTAAGTGATGGTCTGCTGAATCTATTAAAACGCACCCAAACTGTAATTTACTTTATAGGGGTTATCAGGATTATTGGCAACATCACATACAGTAGAAGCATGAACCAGCAGGCTGTCTGCAGCCTGCATAGTCTCTAGGTTTGATGTCATTTGTATGCATGGACAGGGAGTGGAGTGAGGCTAAGGAAACCAGATATGGTCATTACTGAGAGAGAAGGTTAACCATTGTGGCAAACCTCCAAGCCACTGTCTCAGCCCATTCAGAGGATCAGGGTTCATCTCGTCCTTCTCACTGCCCACAGCCTCCAGAAAGGCTCAGAGGACATAAATCTCCCCCTAAACCACACAGCAAATGCATCAACGCTAGAGAAGTTTCATAATATTTTAAACAAAGTGCTATTTTCCTTATGAATGATGACACCAATCTCTTTCTGCAAACTTGAGTATTTTAAGGAATTTTACTCTAAAAAAAAATGGGGCCGTCCTATGTGAGCTGTGCTGTCACAGACTGCTGAGCTACCTAAGTGATAGGGGCTCAAAGCCCAGTGGATGTCGAATATTCTGGGCTACACTGCCTCCATGTGGCCATAAATGGAACTGTGATTGTTTTTACTTAATCAGAAGACATCAATAGTGAATATAAGACCTCCCCAATTCAGGGAAATCAGGGTTTTCCTTCATGTTTGACATCCTCAAAGCTGATTAAAAGTTGTTTGCTGAGCATTCTGGTTCCAAGCAAGATCATACAGTATGTCTGTCAGGCAGTACCGAATCAGATGTTAGTGACAAACCATATACAGTTGCTTTTTCCACTGAAGCCCAGTTTCAAGCATGATGTGATAGCTTTGTGGATGATGGGAGGTTCCTGAGCTATTAACCTCGTACTTGTATAAGTTTTGTTGCTGACTGCACTGAAGCAAACAGTTTACACAAGCAACCACCTGTCCTTACTGGGAAACTACAATGCAACAACCATAACCGTAATATTCAGTTCCAGCTGTTGCTTATCTGAAATAAAAAATATTAAGAGTCTATTGTCATGGTAGTAGCTCTGAGAATCTGTATTTAGGCACAATGGTGCTTTGAGCTCCTCACAGTGAAAATGCCAATACACTACTGTTCGTACTTACTGTATTGGCATTATGTTGCTATAATGTTAACCATGTTCACCATCTAATTTAGCAAATTAAAATGTTAACATTTGCTAATTTACACTAAACACAAAGTAGGAATTCCTTTAGTTTTTGCAGAGTGGTAGTCAAATTCAAATTTTGACCCGATGACGGCACAAGATCTTAAGTCATGGCATAACAATTCATCCAGAGGGAGACTTCAATATCTCAATGTACCAAATTTCAAATAGTAGTCAAGCATTTCACTCAAACCCACAAATGTGAACCTCAAGGTGGCGCTGGCGCTGAACTCAGATGTTCACAGAAGTCTTTAGGATTCCATGCCAGATAACCATGAATGTCTCCACACAATTTTGTGCCAATCCATAAAGAAGATGTTGAGATCTTTCATTGAATAACTTGACTGCCAGTAACACGACATGGAAAGTCTAGGGAGCACCAAAGTTGTTAACATTCATCCTCTGGGTACCATGAATATCTGTGCCAAATTTTATGGCAATCCATACTGTGTCTGTAAAGTCATTTCACTAAAAACCACAAATGTCAACCTAATAGTGGCACTAGATTAACGGTTAAGGCATCACCAAAGTTAGTAGCATTCATCCTCTTGGGACCATGAATTTCTAGGCAATCCATTTTAATTGTCGTTTAATCGTAAAGATATTCCCGTGTTTAGCCAAAGTGGTGGACCAATTGACTGATCCTGCTATCCCTAGAGCCACACATGGTGAAAAAGTTGTTTCCTCTTAGTGTGGGTAAAACGAACAAACTGTACTTTGTGCTGAACTGAACCTGTTTCATGACTTCTTGAAAAGTTTTTTGAGTCTCCCTGTCTGTTATTTATGTTTCAGAGCCAGGCCCAACTTAACAATGGGCCCCATACCGCTGTGTGTCCTGCTCCCGGTGTTGGTACTGGCTGTGGTGGTGGCTGTAACTGCTGAGGAGAACGCAATCGATGATGAGTATACCTGGCCACAGTGGAAGGTGCCTCTGGTAAGGAAAAGACGTACTGTGCATCTCAGCAGCCCCAACTTCTCAGCCCATCCACAACCAGAGCTGAGTGGGACCTGTGGGATCGAGTGTCAGCGTCGCCTCCCTACACCTTCTCTGGATGACCTGGAGCAGTTCCTTTCCTACGAGACGGTCTATGAGAATGGTACACGCACGTATACCTCAGTTTCTGTGCAAGGTCTCAATGAGGTGACAGTCTGGACCAGTAATGCCTCATCTAGCCCCCGCCACAAACGGGAAGTGTACGGCACAGACACCCGCTTCACTATCGCTGATAAGCAGTTCTCTACCAAATATCCCTTCTCCACTACTGTAAAGATCTCCACAGGATGTTCTGGGGTTCTGGTGTCACCTAAACATGTGCTGACGGCTGCCCACTGCATCCATGATGGCAAGGATTATCTAGATGGAGCACAGAAGCTACGTGTTGGCATACTGAAGGAGAAGTCCAGACGAGGGAAAGGAGGCAAAGGGAGAGGAGGGCGAGGAAAGGGCAAAAGGAGAAAAGGAGACAAAGGTAAAGAGGAAGATGAGGAAAAGGAAGAGAATGATGGGAAAGGGGACCGTAAAGGGAAAGGGAAAGGTAGGAAGAGCCGGAATCGGCGAAGTGCGGAATCAGAGAAACCTTCATTCAGGTGGACCAGGGTCAAAAAGACCCAGATTCCTAAGGGTTGGTTCAAAGGTGTGTCTGACGGACTGGCTGCAGATTATGACTATGCTGTTCTGGAGTTGAAGAAAGCCCCAAAAGTCAAGCACATGGATCTGGGTGTTATCCCCTCAGTGAAGAAACTCCCTGCTGGGAGGATCCACTTCTCTGGCTTTGATGATGACCGGCCTGGAAACCTGGTCTACCGGTTCTGCTCTGTGTCTGAGGAATCCAATGATTTACTTTATCAGTTCTGCGATGCCAAACCAGGGTCCAGTGGCTCTGGGGTCTACATCCGCCTCAAAGAGCCTGGCAAGAAGAAGTGGAAGAGGAAGATCATTGGGGTTTTCTCTGGTCACCAGTGGGTGGATGTAAATGGGGATGGGATGCAACAGGATTACAATGTGGCAGTGAGGATAACACCCCTCAAATACGCTCAGATCTGCTATTGGGTCCACGGGGACTCAAGTGAGTGCAAGGTAGCCTAAGAAAACACAGGATCCACGTTTAACCACCACCCCACTCCTATCCCTCAGAAAACCTCTATACAAGGGACACCTTACCTATTCTCACCCCCTAACCTCCTATTACCAGGGGCCCGTCGACTGCCTCTCCTCTTCCTGCCTTCCTGTTACCTCCTGTGCGTCCCAGCAACTCTTCCACTGATCTATACCCCCCCCCCACACACACACACACACACATACACACACACACACACACACACACACACACACACACACACACACACACAGCCATGCAGACTCAATGTTGACAACAGGAACTTGTCAATGCATCAAGAGAACTGTGGCTCTTCAGCTTTTTCTAATTTATTAGTTAAAAAAACAACTGAGAAAAAAATATGTATTTTACGTATTTACAGATCAGTCAGATCTGCAGTTTTGCTTTCTATTTTGACTCTTTAAAAAAAAAAAAAAAGATTTGAGCTTTTTGGATACAATATTGGAAAGCATGTATATTCAAATGTTTGTGAGCAATGCCCCAATACATTCGTCATATATTCCAACTAGGCTTTATATGGAGAGACTTGAATTGTCAAGTGTTTTCCACCACTTTAAAGAAGATCACGTGTATTGGCTTTGACAAAAGACCCAGGAAAAAATTTTTTGTTTTACAAATGAACTATATAGAGATATTGAGATTACTGTTTTTTTAAACACTTTAATGTAATGAGCTGGTGTTTTGCATTGTGTATATCTAGAAGTTTGAGTTTGTTTTTTACAACTATCTTTTTAAATAAGACTATTTTTCTGTCAAAATAGAGAAAGGATCCTTATGGATCCTGGATAGAAGATTTTTCTGATTTGTGCGTCTCACCATCTTTTCTCTGTTCTTGCAACACAGTGAAATGTGGCTTCATTGTTGTGCACATAATTATATCGGTGCTTATCCAGAAGACGTGGTGCTAATTTATGGAATTGTAAACATTTTTTTTGATGGGGTTGGGCGGGGGTAGGGGTGGCTTCTCAGAATATATTTTGATAGCCTAGTACTGTAACTATGTATTTAATGTGAGGCGACATATTTGGTTTGTGTTAAGATGGGACTGAACCATTTAATAATTTACTTGAGCTGTTTAGATATCTGTAATTCTAAGGGTTAAATATGATTACAAAAGTAATATTGTTAACAAATTTAAATCGGGAATGTGATATTTTTGACTTTTCATGTAGCTTATGTTCCAAAAATTCTTACGACTATCCTTTTGAATACCAAATACCTGAAATTAATCTGAAATTAATGATGCAGATTGAAGACTACCAACCATTAAACCAAGATTACTTCTTGTGTGTGTGTATGTGATTTTCCTGGTTACAAAAACTGATTACTACCATAAACTGATTTGTGGGTAACAATTGTTATGAGACCATTGCCAATAGTGGGGACTGTACTATGTACTACTACTTAAACTGTTTAACTTACTAACTCAATGATAGCTAATGTGTCACCTGAAATTACACCTCTAAGTATAGGGCATTGATGTAAAGTGGCAACATTTCGCCACATTTAGCTCCAAACAACATTAAAAAGTGGCGTGAATTTTTTAGTCACTTTTTTTTTTTTACCAGGTTTAGTGCATTTGTGAATTTTGTCATACTTTTCTTGTAAAAACATATTTAATATAATGTTAAGGATGAATGAATATTACATCTAAATGTTAAATGTAATTAAAATTTGTGAAATAGAAAATGTTAAATCTTAATGTGGCCTGATGTTAAATAACATTACTATGTAATGATGTTATTCAAAGTCATCCTAATTTCTTTTGAAATGCAGTTATTCATTTTACGAGTAAGTAAAAATGAAAATGACAGACATTTTTTTATTATTTGTTAGAATGTATAGGACAGATTCAAAGATAGGCTGCACAGAGAACTTTGTGATCACATCCAAACCTTATCTGAAGCAGTTAATAGATAAGTGTCCTTGTATGGTCCTCATTTTTTGCTGAATGCTTTTGAAACCAGACAAAGAACCAGGTTTGAGAATAGTAAAGTGGTGTTGCCTACACTTCTCATGAATAGACATCAAGGCAAACCTTGATACATTATTTCAGGATAGCAAATCTCTCATTTAGTAAGTCTTGGACTGAACTGGCAAAGCATTGGGGGTAAGCTGTCAAAACTTTTTACAAGCACAGACATTGGCTCAGCATTCAGCCACAGACATATGCAATACTAGGAAATGATAACCTGGACAGAGTTGTTGGGGAAATTCTTTAGTCTACCACAAATACAGGTGAATGACATGTGCATGGAAGCTTGAGGTCACACATTCAAAGGTGGCATGTTAGATAGAGTCTTCGAGAAATCGACCCTATTGGATGGTCCTTCAGAAGACGCCATGTAATACGTCAATGAATTTACAGTATTCCAACCCCAGCCAATTATGGTGAGTAAATTCCATAGACTGTAAAAAAGATGGACATAGCATACGTGACATCACGCATAGATTTCTGAAGCGCGGTTTTGAAGCGCAGGATGGGCTGCCATCTTGCCAGTGACTGACTCCGCCAAACTCCCAGCTAAACCAAATATGGGCAAAGAGGAGGGGCACACGTGGAGCCGAGACTTCGGTGCTTGCCAGCTTGTAGCAGGAATACGCTCACCTACCTGTCACTCAAATCGGCGCATTCTCAATTATGCAGAACTTTAAGCCTTACTAAAATTTAAACCGGTGGGTTATATAAAAATTCACCACCCATACAGTTGTCATGAAGGGGGTCATTAGCTTGAGACCACAACTGTTTTTTCTACCAGGCTTGTAAACATGTTCATTTCTGCCATTTGAGGAACTTCAGTTTTTGGTAGTCTCGTGTTGGCTTCATTTTTCAGCCTCAGAGGTTGCGCCATTTGGTAAAATCCCAACAGAACCAATCAAGTGAAAACTTTTAATGTACCAGAATCTAGTAATACTCAAATAATCAAAAAAACATTAGTATTTATTGTAAGGCAGTTTGTCAACATTATTTTTTACACAAAATATGCTACACAGTATCTCTTTCATTTCAAATGTGTGTGAATTAGTTTCAATGTAAAACAAACATTTAACGCACTTTCACTGTCTGTAGTGTGTAATTTATTTCACCTTAACACTAAAGCTTTGTCTTGGCACTAAATGTATCTTTGTTTCAGTAACTTCCTGCAACTGAAATATGATACAGAGAGCGATTGAAACAAAAGCTTAGTACCATGACCAGACTAAAGTTATTCAGCTACAGTACAATCAGTCTGAGACAGCAGCAGCTGAATCCGAATCTGAAAACGAAAACTTTATTATCCACAATGTGGAAATTTGCCTTTGGTTTCACCATACGACATGTTGCAAATTAAATGAATTACCAGAATTAAGCACATAACAAACATGTAGGAAAATGAAAAATTTCTATAACATAACATTCTTTTTCAAATTACATTATTACTTTTATTCTTATTCTTCTTGACTTTATTGCCGAGTGTCAAAGTTTATTATGCTGAAGAAAGTACTGTTGAGGATCAAAGATTTAGGTGCCATCTGTGTCCAGTATCAACTCACCTACACCTGTTAGAGATGCATGGTGTATACATCATTGTGTCATGCATAGTATAAAAAAGCCTATCAAAATTAAGTGATATCCTTTGAATAACCTGATTGGGGAAACAGAGAGCCCGCATTACAAACTGGGTTGTGGATTTTGAAAGCTCTGAGCATTTACAATGAATAAAGTTGTCTGGCATGTGAAAATGTCAGAGCAAATTTACAAAAAGGCATTATTTTGATCAACTTTTGCAAGTCACAAGTAAGCCTCAAGTCTTTCTACTCAAATCCTGAATCAATTCCCAAGTCAAGGCGGATAGACAGCTTTCATTTAAGCTTCTTCGAAACAATTCGCTATGAGCTTAACTAGCTCGCTGGTTCTGCAAAGCATGCAGCAGACAAAACGGTTGAAAATATGGGAGCGTGTCTATGTTCCCACAGCCCTATGTTAAGACTATAAGGTTTCCTTTTGAGAAAAATCATAGGCCTTGTCCACATTAACCCAGGTAAATATAAAAATGCACATTCACAATGAAAACGATCTCCATCCACACTAATCGTTTTCAGAACGCTTTGCATCCACGTTCCACGGCATCTTAACATTTATCCACCTCATCGATCGTTTTTGTAAAGCATCGTTTGCAGTTTCGGAATGCACCGTTCTAATGTGGACGGAAGGGCTAACCGGATAAATATTACCCGGGTTAGTGTGAACATGGGCTTATGGGAACATATAAGACTGTGGGAAAATAGGGCCTAATTTTCAAAACTTTCTTAGAAATGTGGGAACATAGGGCTGACCCCGAAAATACGGGGTGCAGTCAGGGACATTATTCAGGCTTACCATGCACATATGAAACCAAACTTAATAACATACTATACTGAAAACCTCACACACATACTAGTGAAAAGCTTTTTACAAAAACATTTAAACAAGCAACTGAAAAATTATACACTTTCACACATACTAGTAAAATGTTCTCATATACACAGCTGAAACGCTCCTTTATAAAATTATGACCGGGCAAGAGGATTTCACTTTAAACGGAAGGTGTTTCAGTTGAACCAGAAAGTGGATGAAAAAAGAAGGCGTGCATCTCATAAAACAGACACTACACTACACTGATGTCTGCTCAACATCCTACCAGTAACCTAACCAAAGCAGCCGTGTTACTTACCAATAAATTGGCCTGAGTGGAGACCACTAGAACCCTGTTAAACGCGACAACAACCAATTGCTGCAACTCCAAGTGTGGACATGCTGGACAGTTACCTATCATTCGATCTTCCCACTCCGCCGGCTAGCAGCGTGCCACTGCCGGCTGCAGCTCCAGTCAGGAGAGAATGTGCACCTTGTTATCAAGTGCAGCAGTGCTTTGGTACATGGACATCAGGCACAAGGAGAAAAAGGTAATGACCAGTAGTCAGAATTCGAAATTAACCTTCGTATCGCTGTGTTTGAGTTTTACCGCCTTAAGTCTGCAATGCCAAAAAAAATTTATCAATTGTATCTTCAATGTTGGTTCCAATTGCAATGCTTTTATCATACATGATAATAGCATTCACATAAACCTTAAAGTCTCTCCTTCCGGGTAATACACTGAAAAATAAAATGAACACTTTAAAAATATCTAAAACAAGTTGAATGTACAAGTATGCACGTTTCTCAGTCTCAGCACTGGAAAAGTGTGGACAACAACCTTTCATTCGTTGTTCTATTTCATGTTAAATAGTAATTATTAGTTTCAGTTTTGGGGGAGGACCAAAGACACAAGGAAGAAAGTCTAATGTAAACACATTAAAATGCCATCCAGGGGGGTACTCCTTCAATGTGCTAAGGAAATGTGTCCTTAATTGAAAAAAGCCCGCGTTGAATTCAGCCTCAAGTCAATTTAGCTGTCCCTATCAATGTCTCTTCTGACAAGTTTATGTTCAGGTACTTTTATTTCTGGTAGACATGTTTGTACAAATTTAACTGCTTCTTTTGTGTCATAAAAATTGTTTTTATATTTATTTTCGTAATCCATTGTAAATGTAAGAGAATTATTGTGTTTTCCCTTTATATTTTTCAATTATGTGCATCATAAGATAAAAAAGGAAAAGAAGTTACTTTTAGTTTTGGTTTATTCTGTTGGTATAATTATGTGAGATTGTATCAAGTGGATTTTTATTCACTCCCATCAGAAGGGTCTACATGGAGGAATGTACGCTACTGGGTTTGTTCCTGACAGGAATTGTGTTAACGTGTGCACATGTAAGGAAAGTTAACTGACTAACTTCTACTAGTTTTAGTATCCTGGTTAAATGTTGATGCATTTAAACATTGTCTGTTTCCACATAAGCCTCCGTGAGTCAGTCAGTGCTTAGTGGGTGTGGATGCTGGAGATGTGCTATTATCTCAGGTTCTGTGTTCTGTCCACATAAACATATAATTGATAAAATAGCATTGGAATATAGAGAATCAAAGACAGACCAAAAAAAAGATTTAGCATATTGATAAATAAAGAATCTGTTGAGAGGAGCTACATTGACCACAAATACCTGTCACCTCTCCTTTTCTTTTCCCTGTTTATACAGGAGCCTTATCTGTCTATGAGTCTCAGTCTGTGACCTGTAACATGTACAGTGATTTTACATTTCATGACAGTTTTTTCATGACCATTGGAACGTTGCTTTTCGTTGACCAGGAGCTCCAGTTTCCAAAGTGTTACTGAGCCTGATATCACAAAGAGTGCAATCAACAACTGACACCTGACTACAGACTGATGTTGAGGATTTCCTTGGTCTCCAGTTGCCCTGTCTGTGTCTGCCCGCTGATGTATTGTCCCAAGCCGAAATTGACAAGGTGAAACTTGTGGGTGCTCCATGTGCACTCCAGAGGCCTGCAGAGGGAACATGACTAACTGCCGTCTTATCTGGTCCCACTAACACAAAGGGCACTGCATCGTTTTTTTACAAGACGAGCTCCTGATTGCCGGAGGGCCTCTCCTCCCTCATGAGGCTAGCAACTGTTGCCTGTGCAGTGCAAGCATTAGAGGTATACTGCTGTTTAGGGAGGATGTGAGCCTTCGTCGTCTTCTCCAGGTGGTCGATCATAGCCTGCAGGTCCGCGCAAACTTACAGCAGCTGACGATGCTCAGCCCTTTTCAGGGTGGAGAGACCTAGCCAGGGGTGCCACTGCCCCACCTGAGCTTTGCTGCGAAGAGGGCGGGAGAATCATCAAGTGGGTACCGGTGTGCTGGCCGGCACTGTGCTGGTGTGGAAGGATCTGATGTACTCGGCAAACTGCCAAATAAGCCTTGTCATCACTGACTTTACCATGTCACTGGTGCTTTCCCTGAGCTCCCTGGGGATTGCTGGATCTGACTCTGCTGCTTTGCTATTGCCCTCATCTCTGCTGTCTGTCTCGCTGGGCTCATGTTTACCCATGTCGAACTAGCAGCAGCACCACCAGATGATAAGTCAGTCATTTTGAGGCACTTTGCTGCACCTACCTGGAACGACTTCTTTTTCTTCTCTCTCAACTTTTCAGGACCACCCTTGTTTGTTAATCTATGTTTTTTACACGTTTCATCCGTTGCGTGCACGTTCTGATGTGGCGCGTTTAATTGATTGACAGCAGCTTTCAGAAAGAGGGTGGGACAAACCCACGTGGACCAAACGTAACTGGCTATGAGGTAGGGATATGTGGAACTATTTGGTAGACCAAAGCCAGTAATATTAAAACGGCCCCTCCCACCCCTGTCTGAGAAGAACTGAAAGAAACACTGTGAGCCAGTCAACCAAGGCAAAATACTGCTGGTTTTTCAACTGCATTTTTTAAATTCTCATCGGCCCAATTGTCCGGCAGCCAAAAAAAACTAGACTTCGATAGCTGGAATCACAGGATGAGGTACTAATGCAGGACCTGCAGTGATCTGTACTTTAAGCTACTTTGTAGTGCGGATTCCTTAACAGATTTGCAATTAATCAAATTACCATAAAACACTCAACACATAATGATGATTTTGAGGTTCCTGATGGCCTGTGCCAAATTTTAAGTCCACCATTACGGCTCATGGACACATGCTCAGGTGGTACTTTTGATGAGGTGGAACTGAAGTTAATGAAATTCTCTTTAAATCAGACATATCAACCATATACTGTAGAAGAAAAGAAAATAATTCAGTTCAATCCGCCATTGAATTTATTGCATCTCAAAGGGCTTACATGCACTGGGGAGGGCCATCGTAAATAAAATAAATTTACAACTAAACAAAAATACAATTTTAATAACTCAGTCATGAAAAATGTCAATAATCTCCCATTATTTTCTCAGAATCTCATCTGACTCTCACAATCAGTTGCTTACACAGTCCACTGAAATGATACACAGAGTAATCTTTAGAACTGTCTGTAATTTATAACACAGGACCTTGGACTGACGTTATTCAGCTGTCCACATGAATGTCAACACTAGAACATACCGTTTTCATTGTAGGCCAGCAGCAACACAAGTACTTTGTGTAAAGACGCTAATGGGGAACAAGATCAGGGCTAGAAGATGCAACAATGACCTCTACAGACCGTCTTTAGAGACCGCTCCCATGTGGCCACATACAGTTTACAGAAGTTACACTGACAATGGGCCAAAGTTCAGCAATGATCAAATGAGCAACTTGAAAAACCTTATGTTCAGACAGCAATCAAACCTCAATCTTTTTTTGTCTAATTTTTTTGTCAAGCTTAAAGGTACCCTGGTAAAGGTAAAGGTGACGCTGTTGGAACACTAGTAGCACTATGAAGCAATGTTTTGATGAGGGGGTCCCCGTTTTGTTTGTAAACAATATGGTTTTCAAAATAAAATGAGGAAGTAAATGCTCTCAACACACGTATTATACCTAAAGGACACACAGATTTTTTGGTAAGAAACGGTGAATGCAAACATAACTTTAAAAAACATCAACAGGGTACCTTTAATCTGTTCCTGAATCTGACTTTTGTGATGGCATTTTGTGGTCACACTGAAAAGTAAAAAGAGCCACATGAGTGTTTCCTGTTGGATTACCATGTTGTAAAACTGTTGGATTTAAAAATCCATTTCAAACCACATCTCAACATAATTTAAATCTGAACCTGTCTGAACACAAAGTTTGGTATGGCAATGGAATATATTATTAAAAACAAATTAACCATACTGACCTGGACTTCATAAGTTATAATGAAAATACAAGGAAAAGACATACCGATGTGAGAAGTGTCAAAATCCGAGGTGGACTCTTCTACAGTTACATTGAAGGACAGTTTGAATTCACCTTTATGATGAATAAGTAAAGCGTTTTCTCTGGAAGTAAGTTGTAAGATATGTTTTTAATAGCAATGCCAGCAAATATCAACAGCAGTCTGAAGGATTATTGATTATAGAAACAGAACATATAAATAAGACAAAAAACAAACATAGAAAAATAAGCAACAAGTACAAAAAGAAACAAACTAAAAGGATCACTTGCTGGTCTGGTATGATTCTGAAGCCCGTAGAAGTTGTTTCTTAATATACAGTATATTAATTATATAGCGGTATTCATATTTGTTTCCAAATACTTTCAAATGATGATGGGAAATAGAAGGATACTCACACAACTTCTTACAATTTCATGTCAGATTCACATTTATATTTCTCTTCAACAGACATACAGAATAGAGACGAAATCCTCGCCAGAGAAATCTATGTACATCAAAGAGGACCTTCCTGTAAACAACACACCACATGTTTCTCTGAAAATCTACTGGGGCTTGGTTTACCACTCATATCCAGTCAGAGTGGGACAAAGAAGCGCTCCGCCCCCTTCATAAGGAGGCGGGGACAAAAATACGGGGTGGGTGGGTGGGTGGAGCTCAAGACACCAAAGCACATCCATCATTCAACTCAACACTAGAAAGAGGTCTAAACACATACGCCTTCACTTTCTCTCACTTACTTTTGTGGACTTTTTTTCAGGGTTTTGTGTGGTTTTGTTTAGACAAAAGATTGGTACATCTACATAAGCACACACTTGTATTTTTTTTCTCTTATATTCATATATAATCCGCTATGGTTCACTTTCACAGTTTGTGCTACGACATCACACAGGAGAAGGGCGGGGTGTTCATGGACGGGGTGGAGAAAAGAGACTTATAAGGTTGAGTAGCTGAACATTGCTGGCATCCTGAGATGTTGACAGACACCAGGTAAAAGGTGAGAAGGCCCTGCTCCAGAGAAGGAAGCAGCTGGAAGACAGGAAATAGAGAGCATTTCGCCGTAAGAGTCTTGTGGGTCTTGACACTACAGAATGACAAGATGATTGCAAAGTGCAAATTTTGGTTCAACCATTTCATGCACACTCCAAATGGGCCTTTAAACAGCAATGATGAGTAGCTAATGAACAGCTTAATTCTCAATAATTCTGAGACTATTCATTTAAATGTTAAGCGTGCAAGAAAGCGCATTTTGTTAAAATGACTTAATTTTTGTTAATTAATTGAAAAGAAACCAGTCGGAACATCCAAACCCAATGTAGATTTTATTTTAATAGGGGCATCCATAAGTAGGAGGCTCATACTTTTTCAGGGTTACTTGAAAGAAGAGCAGGTATCTGCAGGTACTATACTTGGTAGCAGAGTAACTATCAAGGAAGGCTGACATCCTTCAACACAAAATAAACTCTTTCAACAACTCCATTTTTTTTATTCTACATTGAAGTCATGTCTCAAGTCTCCAAACCAATCCTTAGGACTTGGAAACAAGTCTCCATATCTGCAATTTAAACATTGTTGTGGCAAATGAAAGATTCCAAACATCTTTGTCATCACCATAAATAAGCCATTTGATCCGTCTGTCCATCAAATGTATTTTAACACACGTAGCAGCTAGTGATGCATCAACCACCACAAAGAGAATGTATCCAAGTCTGCCAGAGGTTGCTATTGTACATATTGTGCTGTATATACCATATGTTCTGTTCTGATCTCCCACCTGGGGCGTTATAAGAAGTCCTTGAGATCGAGTTCGGCCAGAGGGTCCTTGGGCTTCTTGGGACTCTGGCTTGCAGGTCCTGGAGAAAGCTGTGAAAGAAGGGAAAGCAGAGCGTGAGTGTTACTGCATCTTTTTACAATAGCATGAATCTTTTTGACATGAATCTATTGGTAACCGAGGGTTTCAGTGTGTGTGGTCTGTTACCGGTGCCCCTGGCGCAGCCGCTCCAGGTGCAGCTCCAGCCACTCCTGTGTATGCAGGTCTCATTATGGGCTGTCCCATCATAGGCTGTCCCATCATGGGTTGCATCATGGGAGCTCCGGTCCCCCCAGATGGAGGCTGGTAAGGCAGGGAGAACACAGTAGATTAGGATTTCTAAAGACAGAACAGATTAATCAACAGCCTTCACAATTATCTAGAGGTGAAATACAATATATACTTGTACATGAGAGATTTCACTACAAATTAACTTAAAGCTCACCATGCCAAAGCCAGGCTGTGCGCTCATTGGTGGCACCATGGCTCCACCAGGTGGAGCCGCTCCTGGTGCCCCAGGAGCTCCAGAAGTGGCACCAGCCTAAAGGGACAGACAGTGGTCACATCAGCACAACTTGTAATTTCTTCAAACCTTAATCACAAACACACAGCTTGTAGAAGTTCTGAAACAGTTTGCATCACAGTTGGATTAACTGCTTTTGGATTAAGCGTGACCTCATGGTGGGGGAGTCCATGCTGTTCTTACCATGGGGGCTCCTGGTGTAGCCCAGCTTGTGGGGGCCACCTGTGGCATCCAGTTGGCGCCTCCTGTCAGCTTCTTCTCACTCTGCGGGTCCCTAGAACAGATCAAACACAGGACATGTCTGAGACTCCGTCCTAATGCCAGGACTTTATTGACATTTGTGTCCAAATCAGACTCAAATTATGCTCATTTGAAATACTAATGAAATCAAAAGTATTTGTGTGAAGTTTTGATCTTAGAAAACACCCAGATGGATTAAGACTCATTAATTTGGTGGCTATGATTGATGATAAAAGCAAATCTAAAAAATCTGCTCAAAACAACATTTAGGAGAGATGCAAACTCAGTCAGCAGTTGATATGATAAAATCTTGTGCAACAGTTTCTCAAAAATAGATTCAAAAATGAAAGGCACGATGAACCAGCGCTCTTCATCAGCCTTGAGAGTATTGCAACCTTTAATTTTATATGAACAAATAATTGACAGCCTTCTAAGACTTTCTTTTATTTTCAAAAACTCCTTTGATCTCATTTCCTTTTTCACAGTCCATAAGCATTTCAGCTCCATAGAATCCACACAAAAATGTATAAGTCTACACAAACATCATGCATTTATAGAATATTCTATTTAAATTATATTCAAACACACACTTACTTTTTCTTTACTCCAAGGTCTGAACAGAAGAAAGAAAGAAGAACAGGTTAAGTTTCTATTAAGTATTTATTTTAAATAAAAGAAATACTCAGGAATGAAAAGCTGCCACCTACCTCCAACCAGGTTGGCCAGTGACGAGTCCAGATCTCCTCCAATGGTTTTGGTGGGAGGTGGGGTGGCGGGGGGAGCGGCTGCAATGCCTCCCCCTGCGATGGGAGTTCCCATGCTTCCAGCTGTGCTTCCAGCAGTGCTGCCCCCAGTACTCTGGGGCGTTATGGCGGGCATCAGCAAGTCACCTAATCCATCAAACACTTTGGGAAGAGGGTGGGGGTTGGCGGGACATCAGAGAAACAACACGGATTACAAACCTGCAAATCCCTAATCTCGTTATAACACAGGCAGAGGGCAGAGGGCAGAAGTGAGACCGGACGGTACGGTGAGGGGGACAGTCCAGCTGTGACAGCATCGGTAGTCACCTGTGCATCGCATGCACAATGTAGGACTGTAAATATATCTCAGCATTCAAAGGGATACAACTACAGCAACTGCACTCATGTGGGTAGTTGCTCAGTCAGTTTACATGGTCACATCTCAGGAATTTAGACACCGGCTGATTTTGGAATAAAGCACTGGTTTTGAACCATGTGTCATCAAGGCCAAAGACTTTACAGGTTTTCATTCCAACTAACTGCAGAAATACCCCTTAGTGTACAAGCACCACTGGCTGTGAATCACTGCACCAAGGAATAGGAATAGTTTTAATGGTTTAGAGGCTCTTCAACAGGCTTCTAACACTATCACCAGAGTAGCAGAACGTTCAGCCTCTAACCAACACTAACTGTAAAGGTTTCATATTTAAAGTAAGTTTTATGTTTCTGATGCACCAGGTGTGTAGGATCAGATAAAAAAAACAAACAAACAAAGAATCCCACCCATGGTCCATCACTTGAACTGACTGTATTAGGACATTTCACTCCTTTGACATTAATCAGATGAACATGATTTAATATGGAACTGCTTTCTAAAATATCTTATCTAATGTCTGCAGATGGCCCCAATGCATAATGTGAATTTATATTGTATAATATTGGCACATTTATTATCCATTTGTATTTTTACAATTGTAAGAGCTCAGTATCGTGTTTGTTTTTGTATTTTAGGAGCTCATTGACCTTAATTTGCATGCATACTGGAAGGTTATAATGGTGTCTTCTGATTGGTGGATTTTCCCCAGGTGAAAGCCTGCAGCCTTTTATGTATATGTTGTTTGCATGTTGCTGTTTATGTGTATGAATTTTGCCTGGTGAATGTCTGAGGACTGAAATACTATCTTAATAAAAGTGAGTTCAAGTAATGGACAGTGTGCAGGATTCTTCGGTTCTCTTGAATCTGACCTTAGCAGTTGCCAAAGAATAAAAGCTTTCACAACAATGTGATGCTATTCAATGGGCCACTTGGAAAAGTATATCAATGGAAGGTCTTGCTGTAGTCCTTCAGAACTGCAATGAAAACCTGCAGACTCGACTGCACGCATGACTCGGGCCTTAATGGCATGTGGTTATTGTAAGAGCCACTGCTCTAAAAGACAGAGCAAAATAAAAATGCATTGTGCAAACATACACAACAGTAGGTTGCGTCTCATGCACGAGTCAAACGGGGTCACTTTGCAACATGCTAAAATAGACACAACCTTAAAAGAGGCAGAAGGGGGGATTTATCTAAACAGCACATGCTGCAATGAACTGCGGGGTTGAACTCACCAATTACAGATTAGAAGAAGCAAACAATGACCCAGCCGAGTGGAGGGGGTGTGATCAGAGGTGAAAGAGGAGATAAAAAATGAAGCAGTGCCGTAAAGGTGTGGAGCAGAAAGAAAGGGAAAAAAAATACAGAAAAAAAGAAAGATTGTGGAGCATGGGTGTGAATGAGCAGGAGGTGGAGAAAGCACAGCATTTGTGAAAGTGAGAGAGAAGGAAGAAAGAAAAAGAAAAATCATTGCGAGAGAGCGAGAGAGCGAGAAGCGCGAGGAGTTAAGCAGTCGGCAGAAAGAACAATTTTATGTCAGGAGGACAGTGACAGCAGCACGTCAGTGTGTCATTCATGCAGTAGTCAAGCCCTCAGCAGGAGGAGATCCATCGTTAAGATAGTGCAGTCTTAATAAAGCAGACCAGGTTAATGCACATCAAGCAGAAGACCTGTGCAAATATTAACAAAAGACGTTTTGAAATTTTCTGATATTTGACATTGCACATGGCATGACAGTGAGTCACATTACTTAAATGAGGCAAAGAGGGAAAAGAAATCTTTTACAAGAACTGATGATCCACTTACTTGAAGCATCAAAGCCACCAGAGGGCGCTGGCGTGGCAGTGACAGGTTCTGGTGCTGCTGGAGCTGGCACTATTGGTACTGCTGCAACTGCAGCAGGTACGGGTGGGGTTGGAGAGGGCAGGGAGCCCAGGGCGTCAAAGCCTGACTCCAAGAGGTCATTCTGCAACGGAGCTGAAGCTGGAGCTGGAGCCAAGGGAGCCAGAGCTGGGGCGGCAGTGGGGGCCAGGGTGGGGGACATGAGGCCTGAGGGACGAAACAGACAAGAAACATTAGGTAAGAAAGATGCATGTAGTGCTGTTTCATATCAGAATCGCCCTAATTCCATGACAAACACACTTTAAATTTGATTACCGACACAACAGATGGCATATGAGACATCTTAAAAGCAAAATAAAATTTTGGTTATCCATCTGGGCAAAGGTTGATCACTGCAGAAGCAGATAGTAGCAACATAAAGATAAATGACTCAACCAGCTACAACTGCAACTACACTAGATCCTATTGAAAATAATATGTGAAATGTATGAATCAAATTAAAGTAACAGTAAACCACAGCAAGACAAGAAAATAGATGGAAAATCTGCATCATCAATCTGAAATCAATGTTCTAACAAATGAGAAAATATTACAATATAAAGATCATGTCAGAGGTGGGTGGTGATTAAGTATGTTATCCAGTACTATACTTCAAATTGTAATAATAAAAAATAAATACCTCAGTACAATTTTGAAGTACTTGTAATCTACTTGAATATGTATATACATTTTGTACTTTACACTTCTATTTCACTATTTTTCAGTGGATATTATTGTACTGTTAATTTGGCAGCTATAGTTACTGGTTTATTTCAGTTTCAGATGTTACATTAAAAGATATGATAATCCTGAACAACACGCTGTTAAAGACTTGTGACCTGAAAAGTAAAGAGTAGAGAAAAGTCGATCAAACAAATTTCAAAAAACATTTCTGTGGCAGAACTTTTTTTTTATTTTAACTATTAACCATTTTATGGGCCCTAAGATTTCTCTTGTGACCCTGTAGTTAAACTGATTTCCATCTGAACCGGCCGCAATGATAAAATACTGTGTATGCACTGAAGTCTTAGCGATGTAATGCCATACATAATAATACATTAGTCACACGGGACATTTTTCTGCATCACAAGCACTTTTACGTTTGATACTTTCAGCACATTCTGGTGATTATACTTGACTTAACACTTGGTCTTTGATGCAGGATTTTTTACTTGTAAAGGAGTATTTCTCCATTGTTGTAGTGTGGTGTAAATGATTTCAATACTTCCTCCACCACTGATCACTATACATACTGAATGAGCAAAATGTGCACTGCTTTTTTTTACAGTAACATGTATGATATATATATATACACCTTAATGTAATAATGGTTATAGTTTCGATGTAATGTACAATTGCAATGTAATACTGAAGCTACGTACAGTGTAAGTGAGGTGACTCATCATGACTAACAGGTTTAGCCCTACATTTAAACTATACATACTTTAAAGTCATATTCGAGAAGATACAAAGATGAAAACATAAGGACAGGGGCAGAGACACTTTCTGATGTTCTTATTCATCAACTATTGGCCATACAACAGTGACAAAGATAAGATTTGGCTGTGACATCACTAGGAGGTCGTGGTGGACAGATATTTCACAGTCATTTCCAAATGAGTCTAAAGCCACTTTGGAAATGCTGCGTAATCATTTCAACCAGTCCTGCCAAGTTTGCGTCATTATCAATTTGACAAATGCATCTCCATCATTACTTACTGTACAATTTCTTAGTCAGCATAAAACATTTCCAACAGTTATTTGCCAACGTACAAAACTTTGTGAGACTGCGGACATTTAATCACAAGTTGCTGGTCCATTCGGCCTCTCTAATTCAACCATCATTTGCATAAAATAATTTGATGCAACTATGATGATGTAAAAGTGACAGTCAGAGGAGTCTCACCTCCCAGTAGGTCGTCTCCCGGCCCTCCAGGAGCAGAACTCTGCGTTTCCTCCACAGGACCGCTGAAGGAGTCTGCAGGGTCGTCCGATTATCCGCAACGCAGCATGGAGGGCAGAAAGGGGTGAGAGGTCAGCCCTGGACCACACACTGAGACATGGTGGGGAGGTAGGAGACAGTGAGACAGATCACACTGACTACTTCGATGAATGTACACGCCCAGAATATCTTCATATGGCAAAACTAACACTGAAATAACAATAAGTGGAAAGATGTCAAGGAACTCTGAAGTTTAGTGTGGACAACGAACACATTCTGGTCATGATGGGACTATGGAAGCTTCTTTTGATTGAATATTAACCTAGCATACTAATACCCTTTTTTCAACACGGGTAAACTTACTAAAAAGAGGCAATTAACTCATTTCGCTCTGCCAGGCGAGTTCGACTTTCTATTGAGACTGAGAGGACACCGACACACAACACAAGGATGTTAGCGCGTGTTAAACGTTTTTTTAACAGTGTACGGTTGCAAGCAGCTCACACTTTGAATCTTTGTCTGTGTCTATGTGTGTGCCTCTGTAACTGCATGTGATCACATTGCTCCCTGCAGTTGTGTGCATGTCCTTTCAGTCCTAACAGAAAGGCAAACTCGCCTGGCAGAGTGAAAGGAGTTTATCTGCGTTGAAAGAACCTGCTCATACACACTCATTTTGGTGTAAAAAGGGTAGAAAAGTAGCTTAGCATTTGCTATTTAGCACTAAACTCAAGTAGTACAGCTGAGGCTGATGGGTTTAGTTTTGCAGGATCTTGAATGTCTGTAGAAATTTCAATAGACTCCTTCCAGTAAAAAAGTGAATACACAAAAAAAGATTCACAGCCCTGGTTTTAGTTCAGTGGGTCAGCTAAATGTTGAGCATTACATAAACTGAATACATAATAGAGACACACACAAACACACAGTGTAATAATTATTTTGGGAATGTAACTAGAGTCTCCTGCCAACTATTGTCTGTTCTGTATCTATGATCTGTCTACAGTCTTTTTTAAAAACCTACACCTAAAGTCTCTCACTACAGCCAGACAGTATCAGCCTCACTGGTGCAAACAGTCATCTCAGAACTTACTGTAACAACTCAGCAGTGATAAAAAAAAAAAAATACCCAGAAGGAAGAGAAAAGTTAAATTATAAAATGCACAAACATACATATTGTATACAGCATATGTTCTTTCAAAGAAGTGTGTAATGTGTGTGCGTTTGTGCACTGTGAGGTGCAGTACCCAGCAGGTCAATGACTGGCGCTGGCTCTGCTTTGGGTGGAGATGAGGCTTCTGGGGCTGGAGCTGCAGCAGGAGCAGGGGCAGGAGGAGCAGCAGCAGCAGCTGGAGATGTAAACGAGTCTAAACAGAGATACAGAAGCAGAAAGGGATTAAATTTCTCACAGATCTGAACGAGTGCATTTGTCAGTGAGAGTGCTTTATTTCCAAGGAGAGATTGCTCTGCTCATGCATAGTTGTTATGCCTCGTCTAAAAGGCAGGAAGAAGAGAAGAAGAAGCAGGAGAAGGAAGCAAGCATCCCTGCATCTTAACTGTGTATCCACATCCTTGAAGCGTGCATGATTTGGAAGTATAGGACTGGTGCGCATGTGCATGCAAACACCAGTACCATGCAAAAATTTGATTTTAATTAGAGTGTGACATCTGCACTCTTCGTGAAAAAAAGGAAGGGAGACAGTGATGCAGTAAAGGTAAAGCAGCTTTACTCACCTGTCACAATGTCTCCAGCCGGAGCAGGCTCGGGCAAAGGAGAGGGCCCGCGTGAAACAGCAGGAAGGTCTAATTTACCAATGCAAGCGAGAGGCAGAATACGAGAAAGAAGAAAACCATGGAGGTTGGGGGAGCAAAGAAAAGCATTAGCGTGGCAGATAGAAAGACACAGCGTAGATAGAAAGCAGCTACAACTACGACAATCCAAGACCAAAACAAGTGGGTACATGCACAGTTCTCATACCACTATGGGGGACAAACCAACATGTGGAAAAGAAAAACAGTTGACAGAGGAGTGGACGTATGGAAACCAGAGGAGATGAAAGAGGTTCCACACAGAGAAATGGATATCAGCTCCTGTACCTGCACCAAAAAGGTCTACGCTAGGAGTGGTAGCAGCTTTGGATTCTGTGGTGGGGCTTTGCTCAGGCATAGAATCAAACATATCTAAGAACAAGGACACACAATCATATGTACATTCAGAGTTTTAGTCCAGTGCATACAGAATGACGAGTTAAGAAGAGAGAGATGAGGGGAAAGCAGAGAGAGCATATATTTTGATCATTAATTGAGTAAGTTGCTGTGTATCTGTTCAGTGCAATGCAAAATGAAACAGTGCAAAAGTTAAAAGGGAATATTGCCAAATTTCAGCATGAACACAATAAAATTAGATTCTACGTGGCCAGAAATCAGTGTAGATTGTCCGGTTACTAAATCACTTATGTGACATCACAGATTAAAGACTGTGTCCTGTGCTTATTAGAGCCAGATGACAAAACAGGGGCTCACTATTTCACAAAGCTTTCACCTGTTCCTGGCACCACAGGTATAGTTAGTGGACCACTACCGTTAATAGGATTCATCCTCTGTGGACCACAAATGTCTGTACAAATTTCACGGTAATCCATCCAGTGGTTGTTGAGTAGTTGTTGAGATGTTACAATCTGGACCAAAAGGGTGGACCGACTGTGCTAAGTCTTTTCCACATCATAGAAAATAGCTTATGTGCATCCATCCTTCCATACATTATCTATGCACAGTCGTTCTGTGCAGAGTCGCGGGGGTAGCATCCCGTCCCAGCCCACATTATTCAGCTTCATCTGGGCAATCTGGACTCACCAGTTCACCTAACCTGCATGTCCTCTGGACGGTGGGATCTAACCCGAACACCCAGAAAAAGACCCGTGGTATATCTGAATTTTGAAATTGAGCAACATTCCCTTTTAACCAAAGTGCATACACTACAATAGAGCATTCTCAGCTGTCAGTATCTAAAACACTTGGTCACAGGCAGAAGAAGAAAACAAATTTCTTCTTCTCTCTAACTTTTGGCAGACTATTTGTTAGTATTAGGTTAATAATCAAAACAAGTTGAGCCACCTCTGTTAATAAAAAGAGACAAATTATTCCATATCTGTCCCTTGAGATGAAATTAAAGAGTTTTTGGTGCAAAAACAGTGGATAATTAATAGAGTATCATTTAAAGCAGCGGACACGACGGCCTTCATCGTGAATTTTGTATTTATATTTAAATTATTTCTGTTGTGCAGAGGAGGCCAAGATGCTTGATTAACTTTTTTAAATGATCTGTATCTGAAGGAAAGGCATCATGGAAAATAGAAAAACAAATCTGAAATGTAGGGTCTGGGCAAATTGTTATCATTTTCACTACCATCATCATCATCATCACTAGCAAGAGCAACACAGTCATCATCATCATCATCATCATCATCATCAAAACCTTTAGCATTTGCATCATCAGTGTCATAATGCAGGGCAATGCAGTGAGAGGCATAATGAGAGCGAGAGGACTTTACCACCAAAGATATCTAGAGTCGGGGCGGCTGCAGACTCTGTGGTGGTGGTGTCGGTGGTGGTTGTGGTGGTAGTGGTGGTGGTGGAAGAAGGGGTGGGGACAGCGGGGGCAGCGATGGGGGCGACGATGGTCGGCGCCTCACTAGAGGTGGGAGGGGTGATGGCGGCAGCGGCCCCCGTGTCGGAGGGCCTCATAGCGAACAGGTCCAGCTCTGGAGCAATGTCCGCACTCCCTTCCGTCGTAGCGAAGGGGTCTTCAGGGAGAGCAGCAGGGGGGAGGGGGCATGATTAGAGAAGAAGGGAAGGGGATGGTGGGTGGATGGGGAAGGAGGGAGAGGGGGGTGGATGGAGGGTTTTTAAAGCAAAAAAAAAAAAAAAAAAAAAAAAAAAAAAAAGCATATTTGTGAGGCAAGTTGCCTCTGACGCTCAGGGTTAGGCACAAAGAAAGTAAACCATGCACATGTTAACTTCAGTGCTGCATCCACAAGCCACAACAGATAATCACTGACTGCACAGAATAAATTTTGGTTGACAATTAATCGTATGAGAATAACTGATGAGAATCATCTCTGTCCTTTGTACATCATTTGCTATGTGACAAGTACAAACATGTTAGGATACAAGAGGTTTAGTAACACTGGTGTCCTATGCAAATGAGAAAACTATCATGCTATAAAGAGCAAGGAATTTAAATGTACTAAAAGTGCTTAAAGACAATGTTTTGTACTAACTACCCACACACCTCACATTACTCACCCAGGCAACCATTTAAACTGAAACTGGCCATTCAATTCATTCAGTGCTCACCGGGCAGCATATTCTTACATGCGGTGGCAAATATAAAAGAAATAATATTACTTATCGCTGGTCAACAGTTTCAACCACTAGCTAGAATCATGTATTCAAGTGTTTCCTGAAAAATGTAAAGCAGCCATTTCTAACTTCTGCCATCTCAGTTCTAATGAATTAAAAATACTCCTAGCAGAAGGAGACAGGGCAGATCTTACTGCCCAATATACTGTATATCAACATGCCACAACCTGAGGGTCAGTGAGTGACCTAGACAAACACACACACGCACAAATAATATACTGTAAATCTATAATTAATGTATACATGTATATCGACCTTGGTGTTGTTTGTTGCTTTTTATGTTTAGTTTTTTTGGAAATTATATTTTGATACTTTGGCAATATTGTTTTTCTCAAACTTTCATGCCAATAAAGCACCTCTGAATTCAATAGGGAAGGTTCCTAAAAGCTGGTGTGCCCTTTTCACACAGATTAATACAGGAGGTCGAGTGTGGGCACAGAATTAAGTTAATGCCAGGACATGTTACAAAAATATAAATATGCTAGTTTCTCTTACTGCTACAGTTTGTATGTTATTCCCAAACTAGGGCTCCCAACATGCTCTGTAAATGAATACTTTTAATTGATTTAAAAACATAATTTGTGAGAAAGCTGTACATAGTTGGCCAAAGAGAGAAACTAAATGGAGTTATTAGAAATATAAAAGAAAACGAATAAAGGTTCAATGATGATGAGTGCAATCATCACCATCATTTAGTGTCAGGGTTTGTGATATCAAAAGTGGTATCCATCCCTGGACTACAGTAAAATATCATAAACAGCTGCACTGTGCTTTTTACTGCAGTATTCACTGGGTGAATATTAGGAGGAGAAGGGTAGTCAAGGTGAGGGAGGAGAGGGTCCATGACTGGGGCATTACAGCAGGATTTGGGCTGAGACAGTAGGCCCTGAGGGCACATGTTTGTTCTACTGTCTCCTATGGAAGCGGAAGCAGCTTTGATATAGTATAAGCAACAACAGCTTTCACATTCTCACATCCATACATTCACTCTCTCTCACACACACACACACACACACACACACACTTGCACAAAAAGCTGTTTTGTCACCCACCAGATCCACCAAATGCATCAGCAGCAGGGCCCGCGGCCACGGCAGCAGGACCATCTCCTGGGGAAGGTGCAAACGCATCTAGGGTATTGCAGACGAAAAACAGCCGGAACGCAAACACAAAAAAAAAAACAAAAAAAAAAAACATAACACCCGGCCCAACACACCGACAGACACATGGATGTAAAGAACAGAGGATGAGTAAAACAGATGGAATGGACAGGAAACAAAAATGAGAGGTCAGCATCAGGAAAAAAGCAGGGAATACAAGAAATATGCAGCCGGGTTACTGTGGTGATTGATCTGATTGTACCATCAGTCACATAATGAGTTTTGGAAGGCTGCATAATGCTGCATTCAGTGAGTGCACTATCTGTGCAGGCTTGTGAAATGAGGAACGTTGTCACAAGTTACTGGTACTCTGTGACAAGAAGGAAAATGTCAAGTTCAGGGAAGGACAAAGGGAAAGTCTCTCTTTGACAAAGAAATGCAGTTTTCAGCAGATACTTGATGCTTACGAATGTCAGGGCTGAGTTTAATATTAAATAATATAAGCCAAAATATCATCAAATAAAATCCAGCTACTCATCATTTTGACATATTTATGAAACCATTAGGAAGCCATTAGGGAGGAAATCATTAAGGGTGATGAACAAAAAAAAAGCAACAAATCCCAAAATTGCGAGTCTTAATAGTAGATTAATTACATTCCAGTGGGTTTACTGAGGTGCACACAATTATGACAAAACACTCTGATGAATATCTGAAACAAGTTAATGTTTAAGCACATTAGTTTTTTGTGACAATAGTGCAGCTTTCAATAAAAAGGAAGTAATCCACTAGACTGGCTCGTAGTTTTGGGATGTGCCACGAATGACATACATTTTGCTCCGTGCTCAGAGCAAAACGGGGCATGTGAGAGCTCGACGTTATGTCAGCACATTAGTGTGCATGGTAGTAACAAATCAGGATGTAAAAGCATTAGAAAAAAGTGAGGATAAAAAACTATTACATCTGAGTCACAGCACTAAACATCTCATTTTTGGAAAAATATAAACCTGATGACAATCTTTGAAAAACCCAGAACAATGCTTACTGCTATTTTCAAGGTATTTTCCTGGAACCTCAAGCACTCTACTAACCATGAGGATGAACAGCTTTTTACCCCAGTTCACAAGCTGTGCCTCCAAACAAAGATGGTAGACATGACACTTCTCCTTGCTCAATTTGCACAATGTTAACTAAAATTAAAATTTGCATTATCACTTATATTAGTAAATATTTATATTATATAATATGAAATTTTATATTTTGCTCGTGTTTTAGGAAAAACAGCAAGAACATATGCCATCAACAGCTGAGATCTGAGAAACAGTTTCACAAACTTTTTCTTTTTTAATCATCAGCATCAAAGTATTTTTTCATCCAGATGGCAGGAAGAGTCTTTTAGGTTTGTGGTAATACCAACAAAACAGTGGTAATGATCAGATGATGTTTAGCTCTGTGACTCGAATGCGATGGTAAAACACGGCACAAGGCACAAACTGGGGCTGTGGTGCCATCTCCTTACTGAAATGTCATAAAGAACATTTACATACTTGTTTTGAGCAGGCTTTTCAGGTTAGTTTTCATGTGACATCAAAAAATGTGAGAATCACAAGTTCAGATTCTCCTCAGTCTTTAGATATCACAGAAATGACGCATACATCACATACATGTGTCGTCTGATGGGACAAAAGGCTGTAGACTTTTCGTGGTTTTATGATGTAATTTAGGGAGTGATAGTGAAATCCCATTCTTTTATATACCAACTTTATAGGACACCTATCAGTAAATTACTAAATGAAGAAGGGGCAGATGCAGACAAGCAGGCAGGCCGCCATGCCTTGTATCCTGGTCTGCATCCTACCCTCCAACCACACTGACCTCCGAAAAGGTCGATGTCGGTGGCTGAGGTGGTGGCAGGAACTGAGACGGGCAGAGAGGCGAGCACTGGTGCGGCCGCAGCAGCAGTGGTAGCGGCGCCAGCTGTGGCCGCGGGAGTTACAGGGTCAGCATCAGCATCAGCATCAGCATCAGCAGCATCTCCCTCCGCCAGGAGAGCTTCACAGGCTCCATCAGAGGCAGCTGGAGTTGCTACGTAGATAAAAATCCAAATGCCACGACCCAGTCACAACCCCCAGAAGAGAGAAAACCGGATGAGAAAGAAGGGAGATAGAAGGAAGACGGCAGAGTCAAAGTGACTGAAAAATTTTAAAATACAGACTTGGTGTGTGGTAAGAGATTATCAGGGAGGATTTGAGAGGTAAAGATTAAAATATGTTTGTTTGCTATACAAAGACGACAGAGAAGTTGGACAGTGAAAAGTCAACTCACCCTCAGCCAAGAGATCTGCACAACAGACAGACAGAAAGAGACACAGGTGAGAAAGACTACATGCAGAAAGTATAGAGATGCTCAGATGAAAGTTTGACATCTTTAATTTCCAAGTTGTTAACATTATACAGAACAAGCTGGGAAAAAACTGACGTACACCGATGGTAAAGCCCAATTCTGCTAAAAGGTCCTTAATGTAATTTAGGTATAGGAGGGTTACAGTTGGACACTGGCCAGGGTCAGAGTATCAGTGGAGATTTGGGGATAAACAGAGGCCATGCCAAAGACCAACTGCAGCTTTATAAAGGAAATGCTCTGTGATCTAAACCACTAGAGGTTACACATTGTCCAATAAAAACATCAAAGAGGGTTTCACTTATTAATTCTACCGTAGAGAGTTGTTCTAAAAGACCTTGTTAATTTATTTCAGCTCATTTACGACAAATCGTATATACCCGATATTACTGCCGACCATTATCCAAAGCATATCATAGGTTTGGAAATTGATTTTCCTCTTCCAAGCTCTGCTAGGCAGCAGTTGCTTTCCATTAATTTTTACTGTGGTATTAAAATCACACTGCACACACACTCTCTGTATACTTTGGAAAACGGTCCACACTAATGTAAACTAAAAGGGTTTGTAGTTAATGGGATGAAACATGCAAAACATATGGTCCATTTGAATGTTACAGAAATTAAGTCAATTAAATATGTTTTGTCATTTACTGATATTTTTTTTTCTTTATGTGGTGAATAGATTCGAGTTTATCCTTATAGGGTCAGGGTCCAGCTTGTCCCAGCTGACATTGGGCGAGGGCGGGGTACACCCTGGACAGGTCGCCAGTCTATCACAGGGCTGACAAATAGTTTTTGGATTTCTCATTAAAGTCATTTCATTTCCATTTTCATTTCATTTCATTTCCAAGTATGTTTGGAGGTCTCTGGTCCGTCTTCACACACAAACTGACTAAAATGGGAAAATGTCGTAAAATGGCAAATATGTGACTCTCATCTCCAGTTGACTCAGATCATGCTCCGTAAGTAACTAAACAGCCAGATTTTGTTTACATCTGTCTGACATCAAGGAACCAATGTTTCAAAAATTACTAAGAATTCAAAGAGTAAATCTGTCACTGTTATTGTTATAAACTGCAGATGTGCCTTGCAAGAATAGAGAGATGTAGCAGCTGTAACTGTCAATCAATAACTGTATATTTACTATATGCACCACATTTACTGACCGCCATTTTATTTTAGTGTCTGAATTCTGAATGTGTAAATTTATCCACTATGTGATGCCCTCAAAAATTCCACAGTGGTAAAAACAGTAGTGTTACTCAATAGCTTGCGGTAAATCGAGATTTTGGAAACATTTTGTCAGCTGCTGAATCACACAACAGTATTTTCTCATCAATAAAATGAAGAGCGTTGCATTGTGGTATTGTCAGCTGAAAGTGCACATGCCATGGACACAATTTTAATTCTTTGGTGGAATTTTTGAGGGCACTGTATAGTTGAAAAATGTACACACTCAGAATTCACACACTCAAATAAAATGGGCAGTAAATATAGAGCACTACATAGTAAATAGGCAGTACTTTCAGCCATGGCATGTGCACTTATTTCTGCTGATGATCCCACAATGCAATAGGCTGCATTCTATAAATGCAAAAATGATAGTAGTTAGTGATGATGCAAAATGATGAGGAGAAGTGATTTGCTGTTTACTAGCGAGTGAACTACCGAGGGTCCATTATTTAAGGATCGGTGAATGAGGGATTGATTTCAGACACAGCAAATTGCTGACAGAGCAGAAAGTCTCACCTCCCCATCCAGTCATGGAGGAGGTCGCTGCACCGCCCCCTGTTGATGAGGAGGAAATTGGGTCTAGATCCAGCAAGAACCCGTCGTCCAGGGCACTAAACACAGAGAGAGACAGAGGGAGATCCATCTCTACTGTCATACTGATACTCGCATATTGACGCAGCTGAGTTCAAACACTTTGTAATATTGTTGAGTGATTCTTACTTGCTGGTAGTGGTGGCGGTGGGGGCTGGCGCGGTGGGGGTGACAGAGGGCGGAGGAGGTTTGGCAGGTGGCCCGGGGCGAGCGGGGGGCCCGCCGGCGCCAGCGGGAGGTGCGGGCTTGGCTGGTGCAGCAGTAGCAGCAGCAGCAGCAGCAGCAGCCGGAGAGCCGTTGTTGGCTGTCACATCCTGCCGCAGAGAAAGACCCCCGTTAGTGTGGAGCCCAGCACGGTTATGTAAACAGCTTTTTAACGCATGAATTCACAGTGAATCACCTGTTTGTAGCAGAAACTGTTAAGGGCGAAGTTAAAAGTCGAATTTACTATTTACATTTTTTTACTTGTTCTTGCACTGCTGCAAAGATCTAAATGACTGTGTTTTGACAGTGGAAAGATACAAGATTATCATTATCATTACTACATTATGATTATCATAAAACGTAGCTTACCTTAGTGGGTGACCTGAAAAAATGATGATAGTACATGAGTTAAAGAGCTTAATGATGCACTGGCTGAAACGTTATGGCTGTTACTGAGATGGGAGGCAAAGTGACAGCTTAAGTATCACTTTGGTGTTTTCAAGCAGGCAGCATTTCAAAGCAATCCCATTTAGTAAACATCTGCAATTAATGGGTCCATGCTTCACTGCTGAGTAACAGCATCTTGGCTCCAGCTCCACTTTAATAAAGTTCTTCTTTTTCACATCACAAACAGAAAGTAAGAGCTGAGTGTTTTTGAATGGCATGCTTCTAAAGCTTTGTAAACAGTCAGAGCTGACTGTAAGATGACGACACAGACAGTTATGTTAGTAATGACACAGGATAACGTCACAAAATATGAATATAACTTGTAGAGAAAAAATAAACGGGGTGCGTTTGCTATAGAGGTGCATCTTGAACAAAGCTCGACTATACAACAATAACAATGTCTGTGGCTTGTTCAGATATCATTCTATAGAACAATTGAAAACTGAAAACGCAAATTAAAACAATAATTACTACAAAGGATGGTAAATTAGTTTTTCCAAGTCCAATTCCCATTGACAGAGAATACTTACTTATCCTCTCTGAGTTGGGTAAAGACAAAGGAAATGACATGTTAGAGAAGTAACACTGAATAATAAGGGGGTGGAGCAGATACTGTCACTAATTTAATACTAATTAAAGATCAAACAGGCCCCAGAGAAAGAGAAAAATCACGGCTAAATGTACCAAACATACATGTTGGACACCACATATGCTGAATCAAAATCCCTATAGAGGTGGCTTTCAGCATTACAAGAACCATAACACTGTGCAACTGCAGGATTATTGAAGCTGTGGCTCTTTGCTACTTCTGGTGAATGATTTTTTTTATAAACGACACAGGCTGCAGATATATTTAACTACTTACGGCTTCTTCCCCTCCAGAGTGTTGAGGTGGGTCTCGAGGGACTCAAGAAGACTTTCCGGGGCCTGTAGAACGATACATAGAGGCTACTACAACAGGGACCCTTACTGTTATCAGCACCAGCTCAAACACATGGGTATGGTTGGAAGACAGTGGACAACACAGTTAAAAAGAAACCTTGATCATGGATTATGGAGTCACAAAGCGATTACATTAGGACACAAATGGAGCTTTGGTAAAGACAGTGGGACTTTGACAGAAGAATAGAGTAAAGATGAATATTGAATGTTATGTACATTTCAAATGAAGTCTGCATTTACGGTAGATGTCACAATTGTATCTCAAACAAGAATTTCAAAAGATGTCCTGCAGCATAAAAGAAGACAGATGTCAACTGAAAGGAAGGGAAGAGGCTGTCTAATATCCTGATTGTTGCTCTGAGTCCATGCGTCCCTCCGCTTATACACTGATAATCATCTTCCTTGTGCAGTGTTACAAAATAATCTAATCAACACTGATTTGATGGCACTCTGTTCTCCGATTCATCCATCTCTGAATGCACTGGTCCAAAGTTAACTTTAGTTCAGTCTGGCACAGGGTTCAGGGTCAAGACACATCGCTTTCTCTCAGCTGACATGCTCCTTCTTGGCCCAAGTGTCATTAGGATTTTAACTAACTGCTGTCCAGACGTTACTTAAATCTACATGCCAGCTATAGAGTTATTAACAACTGCTTACAAATTACAAAATCTAAAGCATGATTATTGACTGCCAGCAAAACTTCACCATGCATAGGCCTAAATTCACACCCTAAAAACCACAGCACTAAACACAGCATTTTTCTACCTTCAACACATTATACATGCTTGGCTGATGAATGGCTACATCAATGAAATTTAACATGTTCCAACGAGGGCTGCTGGGTATCAACCTCAATACCTGCTGAGTACTCTTTGTTTACTGTAAATAGAATATTCTTTGATCAGATATTTCCTCTTTAAGTGAGATCTTTGCTGATTTCACACCACTGTGTTCAGGCATAAAAGAGCAAATACAACAATTATTTTAAAAGAATTCTTAACTACTTTATCAATTAATTATATTTTGGTGTAAGTTGTTAGTATACTTTGTTGAAATGGAAAACCAAGAAGGGGATGAAGCAGGATACGAAAACAACAACTAACAATAAAACAACAACTGAAAAGTAACAGAAAAAAAAAGTTTAATCTTCATGCCAATAGAGAAAACAGAACAGTACTCCAGCCAAGATGCAAAGCTGCGTGCTCAACCAGGCTAAATGAGACATTATCACCTCCTGACATGCAGTAAAAAAGATGGCACAATAATATCCAGCAGGCTTATTAAGAGAGGTCAAGGCTAATTCAGCCAATGAAATAAGTCACTAATTCACTTTCCTTAATTCCCTGCTCCATTTCCTGGATCTATCCTTTTAAGGCCGTCTAGTCTATTATCCCTAAAACTTAGAGAGTCCAACAAGGCAGAGAGGCTGATAATATTTTGTCTAGGCACGGAGGGGGATGGGTAAACGATTTATCATCCTGGGACTTTAAAGCGTTTGTCCTCCAAAAACAAAGGAGGTTGTTCTGGGACAGCTCTGCCACAGCAATATTTAGACACATACAGTTGTATTTCTCATCCATGGAGCCCAATGTAAAATCTACTGGACCATCTTCACTGTGGATGTGACAGCAACAGGAAGAAAGATTGAAAGATTACCCGATATGACTGTCATGTGCAGAGTGTTTTCTACAACTACCCACTATTCTGAAAAGGTGCACATGAGTAATGACACAACAACATGGCTCCTGAGTCAGTGAGATGGTAATATTATTCTTTTCTTGTTTGTGCTGATGTAATACCTCCTGGAAGGGATGAGGGCAGAAATTGGTGGCTGAGACTGAGATTAATCCACTATAGTTTGAGGGATTTAAGAGACTGATATAATTTGCTGTTCTGGATGCATAAATCGAATTTTATCTATCTATCTATCACTCACACTGTATCTCATTTTCAGTCTCAGGGTAAGGCCTCTAAGCTCTGCAGCCCAGGCTGGAAGATTAATCAATGATGCTCCACAGCTAAGTTATTGCACAGTATGAACTACTAAGAAACAATGCGACATATCTTAAATACGGAAATTTGTGTAGTATTTATTTGTTGTTTATGATTTATTTAATTAGGCTAACTTTTGTATAATTGCCTACAATATTTACCTTAAAAGTAACCAGGAATAGCTGAGTTTTTGCATAAGATGACACTGCTGCTAACCCCAAACACCATGAACTGAGCTCACCCTCATGCTAAAATCCAAACCATCTTAATAGCGTTCACATTCTTTACCAGCTTTAGAGATTTTACTGGAAACATTTGAATTTTTAAAGTGTCTCACTGTGAGTCTGTGAACACAAGGCTACATTTCAAATTGAAAGAAATTCATCAGTAAAGAGGCAGAGATAACAAAACTTATCCACAGGCAGAACAACAGAACATAATATTGCTGCCGGACATATTAAATTTTGAGAAGCCTTATCAGGAAAAGCTCTTGCAACTCTCATACTTAAGTTTAAGCGCCACCGATGGGGGTTTCAGTATCTGTTGCTGGTGCTTCCCAGAATTTCCACATTATTAATGTAAAGTGGATCACTTAAGTAAAATCAAATAACACTCAAATAACTCATAAAAGCAATAGTTTGACATTTGCTTTCTTACCAAGAGTTCAGTGAGAAGATAAAACTCTCATGTCTGTATGGTAAATATTAAGATAGAAACAGCAAGCAATACTTGTTGTTTTTAAATTTAGTTTTTTTCTAGAGATGAAACAAAAAAGATTTACATGTTAATTAGTGAGCTTCACAGAAGCTGGTAGGTGGATTTACTTAAACTTCACACAAAGCCAGCCTAGCTGATTCCCCATTTCCAGCCTTAAGATAAGCTAAGCTAAGCTAAGCGGCTGCTTGTTCTGACTTCATATATAGTATACATACCAAAAGAATGGTATTAATCTTCTCAGCTAACTCTCAACAAGAAAGCCAATAAGCGTATTTGTAAAAATGTTGAAAAATGTCTATAAAGAAAGCCACAAATCCAGTTTAGTAGCAAGTTAGCGTGCAACTCTAAAAGCCTTTAACGAAAAATGCTTGATGTGAATTTGTGAATTTGACTTGTTCTGAAGATCTAACATCCAAACATAATATCACAGTATATTGATTTTAGCATAGTTTGGATCTGTTTTATCCCATTAGCTCTACAGTGACCTGACAAACCTGAGTTTAATCAGACAGCATACAGCATGCTTTTCATGCAAGTCATCCACACTGCCATGTGTGAAAGGTTAACCTTTCTGTAGAGTCTCCACAACAGGATGGAGTTTAGAAGTCGAGGACTGATTCAGGAACCAACGGGAGAAATCAGGTTTCTCTTATAAGTTGTCATGGAGACTCTGCAGCACAATCCCAGGATAACAGTCTGCTGTTCCTTTACACAGTTGTTGAACTAAAACTATGTTTAGCTCAAGAGTTTTAGCAGCAAAAAAAAAACAGCCACCTGATCAGCAGCATTGCTCAGCATTTCACAGTTTATCCAATCAGCTCCTCCAGTCACATCATCCCACTTCATCACAGTGCCTGAAGTCTGTCTGCTGGGTGTGCACTTGCTGTGCAGTGTGCTTCAAGTCTGTGCACTCAAAGAGAGCTCAAATGTTGACCTTCCCTAAGCTGTTTGCTCCCCAAAGCTAGCTCTGTGCACTACTCACTACTCACACTCTCAGCCTGAATGATCAATCTGCATCTCTGGAAGTGAAAAGAGAAGGGGGGCACAGGCGCCATGAATCACCAAAGAACCACAGCTCATTGGCTGCATGGAGGTTTTAAGTGCACGTGGAGCATAGTAGGATATGCCACCGCTTTAAACAAGGGACATAGTGTAGATGTCTGTGAATGTCTGATTATAATCAAAGGAGAGAAATCATAGTGAACACAGCAGGAGAAAATTCACATGACATGCAGTACAACTGGGAAAAACTGACATGCTAAGTTAGTATGTAGCCTAACAAATAACTTCACAGATCCAGTAATAATAGGTGAGGCAAGGAAGAGTCTTACCTGAGTGAGTTCAGGTATGTCATTTTTGTCTATTCCCACTTGCTGTATAAGAATACAGTGACATGTTAATGCAACAGTTAATAAACAGCAGAAGATGTATCTGACATTCAGTGATATAATGTGCTCTGTGGGCTACCTCAGCAATTTTGAAGAACTCAGACACCCGAGTCATTCGTGTAAGGAATCTCTTGTAGATCTCCAGCCCGTCTTTACACTGGCTTCTCTTCATCTGGAAAAATTTTTCTAGACAAAAGAGATCGTAAAATGTCACTCTTCCTCCTCATGTACAATACTTACAGTTATATTGCGCAAAAAGACCAAAACCAACAATGAAGTACTGAATGTGTGAAGCCAAAGCCTGATATATCTGATTCGTCTGTGCCACCAACATCCACTGTGTCCAAAAACTATTAAAAACACATCACTGAGGCAAACCATTGCTCTGGGTGACATGTTTCTTCATTACTGTGAACCTAGGTACTGTAGTTTGTTTTGAGATGATCACACATACACTATTCTGTTGCTGTAAATACTCACTAGTGCACCAGACCCACAACTAAAATAGTCCCCAACACATGCACTATTTTCTCCTGTTTGAGTAACTTTTGCTAAAAGCTGCAGTGCTCAGCTGTACACTTTTGTGTATTTGTGACCCATTTTTAAAGGTTTCTTTATTCAGTACTGAGGGAACAAATAGCTTGGTGCTGACTGCCACAGAAAGGGTAAGGAAGTCAGAAAGTACTGAGAAACATGTTGACGGAATTGGTGTTTTCAATGTATTCTTTGAAAATAAAAAAATATACAGTCCATATATAATCATCCCGGACTCATCCTTTGAGAGGACTTATCTTTGTTCATTGATTGCTTAATTAATCATGTGATAAAGTGAAAGGAGTGACTCTTTACCTAGCAGGTTAATGATGCCGTCATTGTAGCAGGCATATAACTTGATCAAATCTTTGAAGAGTAGGAGAAAGCAGGCATTTATCACTCCATTGTTCAGTTCCTGTGCATGCACCTGTGGACACAAATAAAATCCAAGAGGCACAATGTGACGATTTTGAAGATGAATAGATGGAGCAGAAAATAACTTATAAATTAAAAGCAGTACCAAAAAGAGAATACAATTTCACCAAAGGCAGATAATGTTACAAGTTAATACTAATGTAATATATAAATAATAGGTTAGTCTCTGTAATCTAATTGGTGTATTGGCCTTGCCCTGCTATTGAAGGTATAGATAATTTGATTTTACACACTTAGGAATAAGGAGGTTGAAATCTACAGCACTGTTACGTATGCTTTGTTTAATTTATCAAAGACCACATAACACCAACCCTCTGAGAGTGGGCCCATGTGTGAAAGGGGGTGTGTCTACATGTCATCATACATTCTGCTACAACATTAAGCTCAGTTAAACCCAGTTGGCAGCTTTTTCTGTGACTGTGTTTATCCCTCAGCAATTTCAGTAACCTTGCAAAGTGACTTTGTTCCCTATTAGCGAGTGTCACTCACATCAAAATCCAGCAGTGCGTCGATCTGGCTCTGCAGGGTGGGCATTCCTTTCAACAGCTTCTCTACTGTCATGGTCCTCATCACCCCATCAGCTCTGAGATGGAGTGAGAACGGAGAAGGTGGAAAGAGATAAAGAACATGTGAATTAAGATAAAACATTTTAGGCCTGCAAAGAACCAGAATAATAAACTTTAATAATTGGGGAAAGCCTGGTCTGCATGATCCAGTAACCAGTGGAATGAATCCAGTGCTGAGACAAAGTCAGATTCATATACTGTCTGTCAGCACACATGAATACCTATGTCTGCACCTGTCACACACATAATGTCCACCGAAATCCACCAATGTGTCTGATCTCTATTCTGTAGTCTGCATCTGTATTTTTCAGTGCCTTGAGGGACCTTGTGTCTGCCAGCAAAACAGAGCTGTCCACTTTGTTAGCATGAGTAACAGCCCACTCTGTATTCATCTCTGTACTCACTAGACGCCAGTAAAGCTATGCACTTGGCTTAACGCCACACTGGAGGTAACCAAGTTCATCTCACTCACGAACACAACCTCTGTGGGATGTGTCATTCTGATGGATATGGAGGGCAAGTAGGAAGCGGATAAGCTCTAGCTCCAGATAAATTAACACAGCTTTTTCAATAGACAAAAAAAAAATCAATAATAATGCTGAAACGATCATGCAGCAGGGTGGTGTTGTGACAACGAAAACCAGTACCCTTTCTTGACTCGGCCAAAGTCGAAAGACATCTGTCTGTAGGCGAAGGCCTTCTCGTTGAGATAGCGGCTATAACGCCTGATAAATGTGGACATGTCATAGCCTGAGGAAGACACACACAAACACATGTAAACACATACACACTTGTCAATTCAGTACAGGGTATTACTAGGCTCTTAAATTTTTTTTTTTTTTTTTAAATTATGAAGTCAAGTTGTTACAAAGATTCAAAATGTCATAATTCAACTGCGATGTTACACCACAACTGTGATGTTACACCTGCTTCATGCTAAGTCAAGCTAATTGCCAGGTTGTAGCTACATATTTAGGAGACGGACAAGAGGGTGGGATCAGTCTTTATCCAACTCTCTTATCTGTATACTAAATATGAGGCTGGAGCCAGGAGACGATTAGGACTGGAAGCACGGAACAAGCATTTTGTGGAATCTGATTGTAATTTAATATTGAACTCAGAATCTCTTAAAAATTGACAATTTGGTTTTCTAAATTCTGCAGGAACTGAACCCAGTGTTTATCGCTGTAGGAAACTGCATTAATTTCCATGGAGATGGGTTTAATTGAGGGGAGCAGGGGTTAGGAGAGCTGGAGCTGAGGGGAGGAGGGAAGAGTCGTCAGGTTGGTTTTAACATTCAAGCTTGTTGTCTAAACAGCTCAAAAAACAGATTAGATTAACATTTACATGTCAGACAGAGATCCAGGGTGGAACTCAAAAACAAATGGGTGAAAGAATGAGCAAATGAAAGATCTATATATAGAGCTATATATGTGTTGAATGGGGGTTGAAATTGCTTGAGGGTTAGTTTTGTCATACATAGGAAGTAAAGAGACATCACACACCGTGGGAGCCAGTTTTGTCCAGGAAGTTGCTGAGGTTGAACAAGGTGTTTCTAGATGCCAGGAACTGCAGGAATCTCTGTGGAAGAGCGCAAAGACACAGGGTTTAGTTCTCTGTCAGGCACTAAATGAAAAGTGGCTGAGGTAAAAATAGCTTAAGTTAGTTAGTATTCTTGATTAAAGCTTTTGGCTATGGCCGTGAAATGGCTTTAAAGTAGCTGAAAATGAATGCATGGCTTCAGATTTAAAATATAATTATGTCTTAAAGACTGAAGACTGAAGATGTTTCATTCTTCAGTGGCATTAGATAGACTGAATAATACACAGAAATTGGAAAAAAACATTTTGTTTGTTGCTGTTAATTAAAAGAAGTAATTGATTAAAGGAATAGTTGGACATTTTGGGAAATATATTTAATCCCTTTCTTGCCAAGAGTTAGACCGGTGGTTTGATTTCACTGTCATGTCTGTATATTAAAGCAGAAGCTAAGAGCCAGTAGGCAGTTAGCTTAGCTTAGCTTAGCATAAACACTGTAAAAAGGAGGAAACAACTAGCCTTGCTCAAATTGAGCTTTAGAGATGCTAGTAGAAGGATTTTGTAGTCTTTGAAAAGAACCAGGCTAACCAGGCTAACCAGGCTCCCTGTTTCCGGTCTTTATGCTAAGCTAGGCTAACTAGTTGCTGGCAGTAGCCTCATATTTAGCATGAGAGATTTATCAATCTACTCAGTAAACTCTCAGCAAGAGAGCCAATAAGCATATTTCACAAGATGGCAATGCATACCTTGAAACATCATGAATGTATGAATAAGTACATTATATCCTAGTAGTCATACCTTATTATTTCATAATAATTATCAAAGAGATCGCAGCATGGGTAATATAAAAAAGAGGCTTGTTTGATGTTCTCAGCTCTCTCAAAAGAGCTGTTCAGCGCTCTCAGCACTCTACATGAAAAATGTGAAACTGCCTGTAGCAGATAATGAAATTAATATAAGAGGTGTGATTCTGCACTAGTCTTTTTCTTTATTTATTAGACAGAAATCTAGTTTTAAAGGAGCAATGCAGCAGCCTTCATGGGTGGGAGGTGTGAATATGAATTAGACAAACGGAGAGCCCAAGGAAAGAGCATAATAAAGACAAATAGGCTCCCTCTGCAGCCCTGCAGGAAAAAGCTTACTCCACTGACACACGTGGACATAAAAACATGCCCCCCCCCCCCCCCCACACACAAACACACACACACACACACACACACACACACGCACCACTTAGACAAAGCAGCTCACAATAAAGTGAGGGGAGGTTAAGAATGAAAAATCCTCCCCTGGGAACCAGTCAGCTACACATGATCTCCCCTCCTCCAATTTCTCTCACTCGCTCTCCAAGTCAAGTCAGTGCTCAGTCTATTATCACCAGGGACACTGCCTGGCTAATGACAAACACATACACCACAGAGGGCACATACTATATACAATATTGCCTTGTGAAACACAATCTCATGGTTCACATACATTTATAACACTGGCCCTTTGAGCTTTTGAAGCAAAAACAAAATACTATCACTGTATCAAATTCTTCACACACAAAGAGCTTATCAGTGAAATGTGTATGTGTGTGTGTGTGTGTGTGTGTGTGTGTGTGTGTGTGTGTGTGTGTGTGTGTGTGTGTGTGTGTGAAGGGCTAGAGTATTCCATTGTGGCCCAAGGCAACATAAGTACACTTGCCCTTTTGCCCTGACACCTGCCGTAAAGACGACAAGGGTTAATGCTATTACCTTCATATCCTTAAATCTCTACCCTCTTGTCTGCTTTCTGTTCAATGCATGCTAGCATAGGCAACCCCCATAGGGAATAAGGAATATGAAGAAGTAGGTACGCAAAGTGAATGAATAAATGAGATGAGATGATGGCTCAATTGCACAGTATCTCTCTTTGTCGTCCATGAGTCATAGTATATTCTCTATTGCTCTGAATATGCAGGAATACTTTCTCCATCTACAATCCAGTGGCGGCTTGGGCAATTTGATGGGCAGTAAAACAGCATCTGTTTATCTCTCCCGAGTTATCCCTTGATGCCCATTCAGAGCCTTTGCCTTTCTTCAGCTGTCAGGACATAAATTGGGTCAGGAGGTCAGGACCAGAAAACAGAAGGCCGGTCCCTTTACTCAACCCATGGAGGCCGTTGAGCTAAATTTAAAAACTATGGAGCAAAAGTGTAAGTTGAATGGGATTTTTTTTTGGTGTCTGATATCCATGGCCAGCAGAGGAGAGAAGACCTTTGAGTGAATTAATAGCAGTTACTCATAAACTATAAATATACATGGACAATCATTAGTTAGAGTATCCTGTCACTAAATGCATTTAAAAACATTTCTTTTTAGTCGTGCTTTCCAGTAGTCTGGTTTGCTGGTCTTAATTTACCATTTTAATTTACTTTTATTCTTTTTATTGGTTTTACATGTCTTATTATTATTGGACTATTTATTTTTTTTTTATTATTTTTATTATTTTATTTTATTATACTTTTTAATAGTTTTATTTTACACACTTTTTTACAGATCAGTTGTTGGTCTTAATTATTTTATTTTCTTAATGGTTTTTAATTCATACGTTTCATTTATGGGATTTTAATTTGTGTTTAATGTTTTTTGTCTTTACACTAACCACATAGTTTTTGTGTTGGCACCTTCCTTGATAATTCATGCTTTGTGCTGCACATTGTGCTTCCACCTGGAATGAAATGTGTTATGTAAATAAAGTTTTAAAGATGGGTAATACTTTTACTGAGGGTTTGTCACTATAAACGACACCTTTCACATAGTTATTTTAACCATTGTTCACATAAAAATGTTGACTAGTGCAGCTTTAAGGTTGGAAAAGCTTAGTCTACACTTTCCACTCTATCCACTGTCCTGGATCAACCTGTTCCAGCTCTTTGTAGAAGATATTAACGTTTTTGTATGGCTGCAAACGTCCCATCAAATGGAAATATTCTTGATTTTTTGGGCATTATTTAATTCAAATTTACAGCCTTACACATTGAAATGGAAAATTGAACTGATAAATAAAAACAATTATAGATGTCTGGTCTTATTTTTACACAACTGTTGCACATTTTAACTGTGATATTAGTATGCTGAGAAGTTATTTCCACCCTTTTAGACTTATTACATGGCTGAATGAACAGAGATCAAAACTGCAGCTTGTATTTACATGCATGAAAGGTAATCTGTGCTCCTGTTGCAGTGTGTTTTTGTGCAAGTATGTGCAAGTGAGTCTTGTGTGGAGAGTCGAGCACACATGTCCTTGTCCAGCACTGCCTTACTTTATATCTGACAGATTCCCACTACAACCAGTCTTTTGCCGTTTCTACTGAGGGCTGCAATCGCATGACGCTCGAAAGTGGAGTGCTTGGGCGGAACACTTAGCTCAGGGAAAGATCATATCCACTCAGGTTGCGTACAGTATGTGTGTGTTATAATCTTACCTCGTTGCCATGCACCATGAGGTGGTGTGTGGTGATCAGGGCTTTGAAAACCACGACCCAGCTGGCATTGCCAGCCCTCTCCATCAGCGTGTCGGCCATCTGGGGGACGTTCACATTGGTCTCCTGGGTGGCCTGGATCAGGTCTGACAAGCACAGAGAAGAGAGGGAACAGGAGGTCAGATGATGATAATAAGAGGAGAGACTCAACTCAGGTACAGACTGTGCAAAAAGCCCTTTATTCAACAACTGCAGGGACGGTGGAAGAAGACAGAGGGGAGTGTGAGAGTAAATGCATTGCAGTGATACTGAGCTGAGCTTTGCTGCATTTCACAGCCACACTCTCATGCATCCTAATTTTCACTTGTGAAATGTTTTCTCAAATAAGCAAATGAAAAGATGTATTTTTACTTCGCTCAGTGTTAATCGACCTGTACTATAGTAGAAATGTGCTCAGTCGCATTTTACGACATTGTCACTTGAGTGACAAATCATTTCATCATTATTGAATGCCACTTTATTGGGAGCTGGTCTGATTAAAAGACCAGGGCCATTTTCATTAAAATAAAAACTGAGCTTATGTGTCAGTGTTAGCCAACTTAAACTGTTTTGCAGAGTCAGGTGTCTGTCTAAATTCTTATTTTGTCAATGTACGTAGAAGATTTATCTGTGCAAGCAAGAGTAGCTAGTTTTTATCAAAAGCATTGCTGCCTGAAGCTGCCATGTTCCATCTTAATGAAATGTTTTTCCGATGAGTGCTTCACATCGTGCTACCATTGCCTGGTATGAGTCACATTGGCTGCTGCTTTGTTCATTTCTGCAGCCAGTCATTAATACCAGCACAGGCAGAGGAAGAGTGGAATATTCCACAGCATAGAGAGAAACAGACGGAGAAGACATGATTGCAATGAGAATCAGACTTTCTGCCCTACAGATCCGACAGACACAGAGGTTTTGAGAGATCGGTCAGCATAATGGTTCACTGATAACACCTTCTGTAATACCAAAATAATAAATTTGTCATCTATAGATTGACTATTTATCCATGTTGATAATTCTACTCTATTTTGTAATTTGATGATTATGAGTGAAAAAGGATCTTTTTCATTGCAATCTGCACAGGTAAAGCCACCTATTCCATATAACAGTGCATTTTTAGTTAATCTGCCTTAGCACTCTGGTTTTATGCTTAGAATTTACCTTATTTGGGAACAACTTGCCAACATGTCAGTGGCAGGACTACTGAATGAGCATAAGCATTTAAGTCACAGCATTTTAGCAAGCTGCACTAATCAATGCCTTTTTCAATTACCAATATATCAAATGGACAATAGGCTATGATGTAAACAGGTCACTTGTAGTAATTGCCATGGAGGACCGAGCACCGAGTGAAATTTGAGCCCCCCCAAAATATGTTGTCCATCATAGCAGGCTCAAGCTCATACTTTCTAATGAACACACTTGGTCTGAGACTAGCCCCCCCCCACCCCACACACACAGATTTCACCTGTCTCTGCAGTTCTCCTCAGTCCTAAGAAACGCTCAGTTAACAGTAGAACCTCTGTGAAGAACATCTATTCACTGGCAGATAGCAGAGCTGGCCTCCAGGCAAACTTCAGGAGACAGCGTGAGGAATTAGATAAGTGGGTGCGTACATAGAGTGATGGACGGAGAAGGACAGAAAACCTGACCAGCATCATTTCAAAAGCCTTGATTCAGCAGAGCAGGGTGGAGCAGAGCAACTACTACTGAGTCCTGTGATTCATTAATAGTGTCATATCCATGTCTGCACATTTACTGCCAGCAGATAGGGAGGCAGCTGAGAGGTGTCTATTGAATTTTCCCTCCAGTCTTAATATAGACTAAATGCCAGTACAGCTCACACTCAGCAATCAGCCACTTGTTATAATGACATGAAGTAATGAGCGATGGGGAGTTTGGGGGAGCACCAAATGTGTATTACTCCACGGCTGACAATAGTTCCCCAATAAATATAACATTTACTCCTCTTTGAGTAATGTTTGCTGAGAAGGACAACGGCCAGCTGTTTCAGAAAATGACGCTACTTTTCTTGTGAGCTGTTTTAAAAGAATTACTTCTTCACCAGCAACAAACGAGTACCACAGCCAGCGTAGGGACGTCTTAGCCTCATCCTTCTAAACCTCAAGTACTTCACAATCATAATTACAAACAGTGCTATAATTTTGACACGAGTTTTCAAAACAGCCCAACAGAGCTCAAGGAACATCAAATTATCTGCACTCAAAAATCTCCTTCTCACATTTTCCAAAGATAAATAACAAGACAACAAAAAGACAAACAGCTATTTTCCAGCAGATTTTTTTGTTTGTTTGTTTTGCAAGGCATTTAGTTGCTTGAAACTGATCAACTGACTTCAGAAACATTTTGAATGTGTTTGAGAGTATTTCTTATTTTCAGTAGTGAGTCTAACCCCTGTAACTCCTGGATTAGTCCATGAAGATTATTTGGCTCTGATGACGACCCATTTTACCACCTTTATACAAAACCTTTTAGTTCCACATCAAATACTGACTTTTAAACAATGATTTCAACAACCCCATCAATCTCTCTGTCTAATTCAAGTGTTGATTGCAATTCTACAGTGTAATTAGCTTTGCACTGACATTACAATGAGAACCGTAAGTGTGTTAGATAACAGTTTCTTCTGCAACCGTCCGTGGGTAGTATTTTTTGAAGTTTAAAATGTACATTTGTGTTTGCATTAATAAAGTCAAATGGCCCGTGGCAAGAGTGAGAAGAAACACGAATGGATGAATAATGATGCAAAAATGTGTTCAAGGTCACTTTGCTCTGACTGTCATGCTACGAGTCTGCTGGCTCATTTGCTTCCTCTATCATGCTTTTCATCATGCAGTAATGACTGCTGTGCATGTCCTCTTCTGTAGTAAGGCAGTGGACACACACACACACACACACACACACACACACACACACACACACACTTAAAACACACACATATATGCACACAGAATGTGAAAGATAATCCCTACAGGGCTGATGAGTCAGCAGCTTGCATCATCCTACGCTTTTCATCTCTCCATCTCTGTCTGTCGCTCTGTGCGTCTCACTCTCTGCCTATCTGTCTCTGCTTTTCCCACCGTGAGGGTCTGTGAGGGTCTGTGAGGGTCTGTCAGGGTCTGTCAGGGTCTGTGCTTTGGACAGACTGAGAGACAAAATGTACAGCCCCTACCATCTAATATCTACATGAGTAGCTGCCTCATATTTACTGTAAATGATGTCCTAATAATAGTATAACAAGAAAATTAATATACAACAGATTATAGCTGTAATTGAGGATAATTTAGTTTTCTTTGTCTATTATTTGTTAGCAGGTGGTCTGACTCTGCTTCAGCACTGCAGTGGTTTGATGATAAGATGCCTCTTTTCTCCATCCCTTCAGCTGTGGCGGCCACTGCTGCGAACAACCACTGCACACTGGAGGGCTTTTCAAAGGAAACAGCCACTCAACAACCACTGAGTGTTATCAATCATATTGATAAAATCTTTCATAAACCCACTATTCACTGGATCACTGATGTGTCCAAAGGCAAGCTGACATTAGTCTATTTGAAAGTGTATTAGATAACGCCTTGGGAACTATTGCTACATGCGGTAGAACAGAATCCTCATCCTGTAGACAGAGAGACACAGAAAGAGAGAGACAGAGAGCCTCAGCTCTGATTGAGATGCTGAACAACAATTCAGCAGGAACTCCTGACTCACCGTCTCCCCCCACCTTCCTCCTCAATTATTCATATGTGAGTAAGGAAGAGCGAGGGGGGAGAGAGAGAGAGTGTGAGGCAGCTTGATGTGCGGCCCTTGAGAACTGCTAGCACACACACAGAGTCATGATCACTGACAAATCAATTGTATGCTTGGATCCATATTCCATATACTGCATAATGCTACACACAGCAGGCTGAGTCATATATATCTTTGCACTGCATCACCTCCTGTCACAGAGTGGCACACAAATCTCAACGGAAGCATCTAAGAGTAGAAAGCAAAGTATCAAATTAAAAACTGTCAATCTGAAAAGTGTATTCTAATAATTCAATGTTACACTTTTATAATGGTGGCAGACTCATTTTTGGAAAATACCGCAAATCTATGTATCGCAGCAGAAGCAGAGATATCCTGACTTTTACATCCTAGTATGAGACAAACCAGAAATCAGGTGGCTCCTACAATTCCCATAATGCAGCTCAGTAGTCGAACAGTCAGTTTGACTGCCATCTTGGCAACACCCACGGGTAGTTATATCAATCCATCTAAATGAGTGGGGGGAGAGCAATAATTTCACTTTAAATGGTCTCCAGGTAATAAAAACTGCATTTACAGAATCACATGTCAAATCCTGATGAAAATGGTTTAAGAGGCTTGATTACTTTGCACCAAAATAAAGTACGCATGGTTTCGCTTGCGTCAGTGCAACAACACGATTGGTTTGATATGTTTCCCGGTTCAGATAGAGCGGATGATTGTCTTATCGGGGGTAGGGGAAGGACATATAAGTCATATAGAGTTATATAACCACCGTCTTTGTCGTTATAGGTTTTTATAGTCAGGATATTTTATGTGGTTTGTTTCTCTCTTATGTGTCTGCTGAAACCCCCACTCTGCATTGTAAACACACACATTTTTATAACTACATGTACCAGTTTGTAACTTAGGTTCTCTATTTAAAAATGTGTCATTTCCAAGCCCTGACCCTGGTGATATTATCAGGATTAGTTCCTGCAGAGCCACAGAAGATATGATACCACTGATTTCACAGGCTGATCAGTAGCCTACTATCTATAAATAGCTAAGTGTAACACTGATGGAGAGCAAGGCTGATCGGACTAGATCTTGGGTCTGACATGTTCACATGTGAAAGGAAACAGGGAATCTGGGAATTGTAGTCTTCATGTTGAGCAGCTGCACGGCTGCAGAGTGTTTGGACCGTGGTCTTATTTGCTGTAATTATAACCTGGTGTTTAAACTTAAAGTGATATTTACTATATACTATTCTGGTTTCCAAAATGTTGTAGCATCCCAGTATAACATGCCTGCTCCCCAGTGACAGCATTCAGAACACGTCCTTCATTTAGAGCCTGGGGAT